CAGAGATTGAAGTGACTAACTTCTAGTCTAAGCCATGTTGGTAGATGCAGACTAATTGGTTGGGGTCCGCGTGACTATCGTAAACAATGGTTGGAGACTCTAGGTGACATGGCTCAGAATCGATCACAATGGTTTAGGTGTATATACTCTTTATCTTCCCTTAAACCTTGAGATTAAAATGGTTTCATATTTGTCTTTCTTCCTATACTATATCCTTATATACAACCTTTGTTTTATGTATTACCACCACTAAATTAACTACTTCTATGAATCTGATGGTCATCTTGTTGTGCTAACGAGATATGGCAACTTGAACCGATGCATATGTGTGCCTAATCCTACGTTGTAGCTGACTGACTGATTGTGTATAAAACAACAAACTGTTTTACCGTACCTAAGTCTCCACTTAATTCACTGTTACCTGGTTTCTAATGTTACTCCAAATAAGAAATATCTGTGACATATAAAACATACTAATTAAAACAAAATATATTGAAATAATCCACTTTTATTGTGCTTCTACGTTGATGGTGAAGTACCAATAAAAATAATGACAGATCTGTCATTAGAACAACATATATAAGCGAACAATATTGTTTTCAGTTAAATCCTCGTCAGGCTTTAATCTAACATGGATACATGAAATCTGTCATTGTAACTATTGTATTTGTATTGACGCCACTGACGACGATTTCAATAACTTGGTTAAGTAGTTAATAGGAAATTTACCGTGTTTGATATTGCCTAAGACGATTCTATAGTTTGTGGGTGAACTAATAAAAGTAAAGATAGCATGTCTTATAATTTGATGGGAAATTCATTAATAAAAAGGGTTAAGTAGGATTCTGTCATCATAGCTGATGCCAGTTCGTGATGAAAACCTTTACTCAGATTCCTAATCATAAATTTTAATTCTACTTCTCCACACTAATTTAAAATCACCTTTTGACCCTAGTAAGGAGGCGAGTTTTCTCAACGTTTGATATCGTTCAAAGGTCATCCATAAATTATAGTCTTGCCGTATCTTATCCAGATAATGGTACACAAGCTTCATATACACGAGCTCCACTGGCTACAAAAGCGACAAGGAAAATTTGCCCGAATTTTTAATAAGCCTAATGTATCCTTATGCATATTCCCATGTTCATAGATCTCTGACCATCATTACAAAATGACTAAAACAAATACCTTCTGCATTTAACTTACTTGGTTACATCACTAAAATATAAAACCACAATACAGCAAGGTTTATGAATCTCACTATACCCATAGCTAGAATAGTTTTGATATGAGACTAAGTAATACGTTTATGGTTACATGTCATTTATGAAGCCATTATTGCTAATAGAGTTCTAGCAATGCCACAACTAGTCTACCTTAAACAAAACAGGTAAAACGGAGTCAGAATTACTGGCTTAACAATTAGAAGTTAGTTTCTTTTGTCTTGATAAGTCTGTCTCTCTTTGCTGATATTATGTAAGGATTCGAAACAGTACACTTATAAGCCAGGTTCTAGGTTACTTATGATTGACTAACTGAGACTATATTGTAGGTGTTTATATTTTCTTTTAGTTAAAATTCAGCACTGAATTTAATCATTGCTGGTGGCTTATGATTTCTTTGAGAGGATGTATTGACTGTGATTGCGTCTAATGGGTATCCATCCATTGCAGTGCTAACGTTCACACTAGAAATCAAACCAAGTACTTAACAATATTAGAACTCTGTATTATGTAGATTATTATTATTGGTATCACTTAACATTATATTTTTGGCACGATATAGAATTCTCAGCATAAAGTATTCCAACAAGTTTTCTTTTTCTTATTTCTTGATTGACCCTTGTGATAAAAATTGAGTGATCCTCAGTTAGTTATTAGCATTTCAGAAGTCGACATCTGAATAATATTGATTCTCTTCAATCCACATTGTCAGCGATCACGATGTATCAGACTTAACTGTTTTGTAATTCGTACAGCGAAATATCGTAAACTTTTTACAAACCCACCTAAATAGGTTCTGCAATTCATTAATATAATGATGTGTTAAAACAAACAAGGAAACAGATAACTTGTTGAAATATCTAAATGGCAGGAACAGGTAGCACAGATACTTAAGCAGGGCATCGAATTCAAATCTCAACATAGATACATTTATTTATTTATTTAAACACATAAATATTGGTACAAAAGGGCACTAGATATATATGCGCCACACAAATCTCATTTGATTTGTGTGAGGGCTGTGGTACTGACCGGGTGCCCAAACCGAAGCAGGTGGTTTTCTAAGGGGGCCACACCCGGAGAATTTGACCTAAAGGTCTGATCCACAAAGCAGTAAAGCATCATAAGGAGATGCAGTCCCATGGTAGCCGGTCACCAACGATTGATTCATACTCCTTTTGTGTCCTCAGGATACTGTAGTCCATGTATACCATTGGTTTGTAATCAGGGTTTTCCAACTCCCCTAGGTGAACTCCCCGTGTCCACCAATCCGGTTAAAGCGTCGTAAATTCGCTTTTCGTCATCTTAATTTCGCAAAGAACACCCTCGCCACTAGAAGGCAATGAATAGGACTTCCCTGACAGAGGCTATATACGCGTGACCATATGAGAGCATTTGGAGAGGGAGAGCGGACTCTCCTCACTCTCGGCCGTACCAGGGCATTTAGAGGCTACAAATATATATCAATCATTATATATCAATCAAATAAGTTTCGCATAAAATAAAGCATATCCTGGATATAAATGTTAACCAATGTTCAAAATATAAGATTCAATCTAATTGACTATATTAGTACACTAATGTTAATTTCTTCCACATCATCATAAAATAATAACAAAAAGCGAATAAAAACAAAATTCTAACAACATATATAGATTTTCTTACAAAAAAATATAAAGAAATTAGAAGAGGGCATCAAAAAAGGAGCATAGCAACTAGAAACGATTATCCAGAATAGAGTTCAATGGATAATAGTGGTGGGTGGCTTATGCTCCCTCCTCCATGGAGGGGGGAGTGGTAACTGGTATAAATAAGTTAGCTCTATTTATTACTATATATGTTGAATAATAATAATAATAATTAATAGTCTGTTTTCACATTATGTAATTTAATTTCACAGACAGTTTCATATTGTTAATTATACTAAAATGAACATTTTTAATGGATTTAATTGATGTATAACAAGAACAAAGAATAGTCATGGATACTAATAAATTTAAAATGTTTTCATATTTCATATTCAATCAATATTATTAGTGTAGTTGTTAAAATGAATTAAAAGTTTTAGTCTATAAAAATATAAGCAAAATCTTTCATGTTATAAACAAATAGTTCAATCTATATGGTTCTAAGTTAAAATCTTTGTCTATATACTACTTATTTGTTATAATTATCTAGACATATCAACAACAAATTAGTATTAAATATAGTTGACAAAAATATTTATGATAATAATAATTAGATACATTAAGATGACAAGGTTATACTACTAATATGGTGATGATAAACAAGTCCATTCAACAAGACGGAGTTAAAAAATATTGTGAAACATATTTTTACACTACTTACAAATTATAAGTAGTTAACATCTTCATATAAATGAATTGGCTATAGAATTTAAGTCAATTACAAAATCGGCTGTACATTTGTTTAAAATGGTTGGCAATCCCTCACCCTCTAGTATTCTTTCAAATGAAGTTATAAAAATGTTTGTCGGAAACAAATGTATATATTGTGATAAGGAATGGGATTGTAACGTTGAAGGACAAGATGGAGCTAAATTTCACTTGACTTCATGTTTTTAATCCTTGGGACTACATTTTTTTTAGCCGTTTGACCTCACAAGACTTCTATCTAAATGATAAATCTTGCTAATTGAACGTTATACCCGGTTCCTAAACTAGTATCATAACCTCTTAGCTAAATCTATACAGTGACTTGAACACGAGAGAAAAAGCACAAATATGCGGGAAGCACATTACTCTATAGGTTTGTTCATGTACAGAAAATATAGGGTGTTTATAGTATTTTAGAAGTCTTTGGGTTTTCCCGAAAATTCTCGAATGCTACTAAACATAGTAGCAGTATAGTAATCAAAAACTCAATATGTAACTTTTCACTTTCGCGGTTTCTAGCAAAACTTCTAGCAAACGCTGATTGGATAAAATGCTTCCTGAGCCATTCTTGTTTATTGCAAGAAATTTTCTGGAAACTCCAACACTAAACACTACTGTCAATGTTAGCTAGATGTTACGGAGACATTTCAGATCATTATGTTGAATGAAATAGATTAGAATACAGAGATAGGGTTCAACAGTTCATTGTTTTGAACGTTTAAGTACTTTGTATTCCTTATATGTTTGATGTGCCAATTGTTTGTAGGCAAAAGAATATGTTCAAAGTGTTTGGACCTAGGTAGTTCAGCAAATCCATATCGTATTTATCAAATCCTCTAGAATATTTTAGATAGTGTGCTGTGTTGGGTAGACATTAAGTTACATACTTTTGGTTTCGAAATTATAGTCCTTACGTTGAAGAATAACCGCGGAAATCTTCTCCTATTCATATTCCCGCAATTACCACTGATATACAGCTTATTAATCTTACCGTACTAACGTCATGGTTTTCTTTAATAATTATACTAAGTCTCTCTGCTTTAACTTACCAAATACTAAACCTTTCATAAAACGTCAACTTCTCTGTTTTTCATAATACTGGAGATTACTGAATTCATTCAATACTGTTTGCTTGAATCTCCCCATTGATGCTTGGGACTACAACTGGTCAATCTCTAATTGGCATATGTGCATATTGCCTTAATTCACAAGCATTATTAGCAAAGATGGATAGTGGCTCAGTAGCTGAGTGGATAACGCAATGGCGTTAGAAGCGAAAGGTACTGGGTTCAAGTCCCAGAGTGAGCATCAACTCTGAGATGCAGGTATATCCACCTAACAAGTCCCAAATAGGACGAAACGCGCGTCTTGGATTCCACTGCTAGCCACTATTCATCTTTGCTTATAATGATGGAGATTGCTGTTACTAAGTTGCACATAAGTTATAAAGTCCGCGTATATCGTTCATAATAAGTGACTATCGAGGTCTGCAGCAGAATTTAACATATACAGAATTCCTAAACCTTTAAAATTGTCATACTCTCGAATCTCATTATTACTATTACTGAATAAACGAAATCAAACCAAGAGGAATATAATATTAGATTAAGGTCAGTATTTGTTTAAAAATACCAATGTAAAGATTTTTCTTTAATATATATCTGAACTGAGATTCAAGGAATAAGTTCCTTATTTGTTGTTACTGTTGTAAAGTTTGAAGTCATTACAATCTTCAACAACCTTTTTGTAAAGCTGTGTTACATCAATAAAATTGTTGAGTATTGATTTACTTTTACGAGAGTTGATCGGCGTGTTGTTTAATATACAGGATATTCTGGCTACTGGGACCAGAAAAATAATAATGAGACTCCTTTCCTTCACTACAGTAATTACCCGACAAGATTTGGACAGGTGAAAAGCATCATTGTCCATTACTCATTTTGCGTTTTCTGCGATGATAAGCTAACACAACGTTCCATAACCATGTGACCTTCTGTTTTGGGACCACCACTGATACTATTTCTACAACTCAATAATTAATCTTGATAATCTAAATCCATGAGATGATATAATGAGGCAAATTAAAAGGACTTAAATATATGTATAATGTTTTACGTTGCTTATCTCTATCCATCTATCTGCCTAAAAACAAAAGAATCAATAAGCTAAATAAGATCACAACAAGTATAATCCAGTTTAAGAATAGTTTGTCTATTTTTAACTACTAATAAATTATAAGTAGCTGGATTACAATCATTAAAAAAAACCGTTCTAAACAAATCAATCTATCTAGTTAAGTTGATTATATGCATTAGAATAGTCTATCATATTTTAACCAAATTATAAAACATAAATAATAAATACTTATACAAAATTGTATGAATATAAAAACATACTACTGAAAACATGTTATTAGTAGTGTTTCAATGTAGAATATAATAAATAAACACTACAAAAAACATACATTAACCATCAACGAATAGAAGTGATAAAATGCATAACTAAAAGGGAAACACAAAAAATATTAAGAAAATCTCTTTCTCATTTTCCATTCGAATAAATAAAAACAAAACAAAAAAGAAAGAAAACACAACGACAACAAAGAAAAAGAGAAAAAAAATGGAAAAGAATAGAATAAAAAAAAGAATCTATTTCAGTTGATCTACCTTGTTGATTTGTGGATGATTTATGATGATGATGATGATAATGACAAGAAGAAACTGTTAAGATTGAAGAAGCTACACATCATGAGTATCGACTAGAAGATGGAACAAAATACCAAAAAAAAAAAGACGAAAATGTTCAGGATTAATTCATAGAAATAATGTTAATCAACAACTGATTTAACTATAGAGAAATATTGCAAGTACATCAATGAGTATTGGATAATAATACATTCTATTATTTAGTATACAATTCATCTACTCTTGCTTCGGTTTGGGCTCCCGAGTTGTATCAAGGCCCTCATACAAATCAATGTTAACTGTTATCATAGCCTCATTGTTATTGTGTAGCACATATGTATTTGGTGCTAATTTATACTAATGTTTATGTGTACAAATAAATAAATAAAGTTTATCTGCTTAGATTATACATATACAATAATTTGTACAAGATCAAATATGAGACTTTGATATCATATATAGTAAACTGTTAAAGTGTAAGTAGAGTATAAACTACTGTTCATATAAATTTAATTCGTTACTTTGTAATATTGATAATAGTATTTCTGGAATTCAGTCCCACTGGAACTCTAAATCAACATAAAATTCATCGTTAATAAAGGATTGTAGAGTTTTAATTGATATCAAGAATCGATCAAAGTTCTAGTGAGAAGCTGTAACCCGTGAAGTTCAACCGTGTAAGATAGTTATTCACCCAAGACGATGGAAGATGGTCGTGACATATCGTGGATTAGTTCAATTTAGACATTAACACTGTTGGATATCGACCAGCTCAATGATCGAAAGGTTAAGCGTTCGAACGCGAGATCGAAGGTTCCGGATTTAAGTCCCGCATGCAAGTTCGCGGATGCACACTACTGAATTCCATACTAGGACGACACAGCTATCCGAAGTTTACAAATTTTCAATGTTGGTCTAGCTTAAATCAACTCATGAATTCGACTATTAAATTACTACGACATCCACAAAACCATCGTTCGGATAAATACCGAATGTAACGTTGGTCTCATTTGGTGTGGATACATTTCTGAACTTTGGTCCTAATTGGTGAAAATACTTACGGTAACGAATTTGGTCGGAATCGGGTTTGGTTCATTCATCCCAACGATGACGAGAACAAAAAGGATAAAGTACAACGATGACAGTTCCCAAGACATAGACAATTCTAGTGCTGAAAATATTATTCCTTCAGTTTCTAAGGTGAATCCACCTATTTCTTTAAATCTTGCTTTTGATAATGTTCTACTTAACCCCAAAGACAGCCGTTCTGTAAGAGACAACTATGTAGAGACTAGGTGTAGCATAGAAGACGAAGTAGTTTCTAGGGAAAAGGAAGTAGAAAATATTGAGTTGGAGATTAGAGAACTTCAACTACGCAAACGATTGTTAGAGTTCCTACCTGCTTTGCCACATCACTAAGCAGTAGTGTCGAGTCTGAGCCATTATCCAACAATGCATAGGTATCCACATATCCTGTGGGACCATGTAACCTGACTGGTACAAATCCCAAATACGTTCCAGTAGAATAAGTAGAAATACAACATGCTTGTTTAGCATCAGGTTCTGTGTTGTGAAGAATTCTATGATGACGTCGCTTGCATCCATCGCTTTCACACAACATGGGATGTCGGCAGTCCTTTGTTTGATGAATAGGTTTTAAACAACTAAAGCAAAGCTTAAACTTCTTCAGTAATTCTAACCTTTCGTTGTGATTTACTGCTATCACTTGTGGGCAAGATACGACTTCGTGGGTATCAGAGCAAATAACACAATGAACTTTTCCTTTACTCGACGATGTATGGATCTTAGCTCTAATAGAAACAGACCGGTTGTTCGATGTCGTTTGAGTTTTGTAGCTCCCACTTGCTAACTGTCCGTAAGTGTTCGTGGCGATCGACACTTTCTTTTCTAAGAATTGCAACAAATCATCCAAATTGGGTTCTAGCCCCCTTCTTAAAATATCGTCTGCGGCTTCCGCCCATTTAAACTGTATACCTCGTGGTAGTCGTTTCACTATTCGTTATATATTGGTCGAACAATTCAGATCGGTATTTCTGCCCATCTGTGACAAGGCTATCTTACAGTTGGTCATGAGTCTCGTTAGTTTCTGTAGTCCCGTTACATCGTCTTGATTTAGTGGTGTTCCATTTAACAATTCTGTTAAGAACGCTTCCACGATGTCATGTGGTCTGCCGAACTGTTTGTGTAGAATGTTAATTTCTTTAGTATAACCTTCTTCTTCTGGTAATAAAACACAGTGTTCTATAGCATCCTTAGCTGTGCCTTCACAATAATGTATCAGGTACATTAATCTCTGAGTATCATCATCTACTCTGTCGGCTATGTTAGCCTTGAATCCTTTTATGAACGTCCAAGATTTCAAAGGGCTTTCATCAAATTTCATGACCTCTATCTTAGGTAAACTGGCTGTCATAACTAGTGACTTGATACTATCCACTTGTGCTCTGAGTTGCAGCTCTTCGCTCAAATGTGCATTGGTATACTGGCGCCTTAACGAGGCTGCTGGGGATACGTCCCCAGATCGAGACCCCAATGACTCGTTAGTCTCTCTCGCTTTTCTCACCTGGCTTAAAGAGTTAGGAGTTAACTCTAACAATCGTTTGCGTAGTTGAAGTTCTCTAATCTCCAACTCAATATTTTCTACTTCCTTTTCCCTAGAAACTACTTCGTCTTCTATGCTACACCTAGTCTCTACATAGTTGTCTCTTACAGAACGGCTGTCTTTGGGGTTAAGTAGAACATTATCAAAAGCAAGATTTAAAGAAATAGGTGGATTCACCTTAGAAACTGAAGGAATAATATTTTCAGCACTAGAATTGTCTATGTCTTGGGAACTGTCATCGTTGTACTTTATCCTTTTTGTTCTCGTCATCGTTGGGATGAATGAACCAAACCCGATTCCGACCAAATTCGTTACCGTAAGTATTTTCACCAATTAGGACCAAAGTTCAGAAATGTATCCACACCAAATGAGATCAAAGTTGAGAACTGCCTTTGTAGAAAATCGTTGTTTTGGAACTTCGATTTTGCACGTATCTCAATCAGGTCACTTGGACGCTTTGATAGACTTAACAGTTCTTTCGATTGACTCATTAATCATTGTTATACGATTTACTCTTTTTAATCTATTTTCAATTTATCATTCAGTTACCCTTAAACTCAACTACCTTTTGGTTTGATCATGTGTAATTATTATTTCTGATTTTATGATGTGATGCGGTCTGGTCCGGTTGTATATAAACTTTAAAGAGACATTATTTATTTCATTTGTCGTAAATACTAAATTTTCTCTAAGGACTATGATATTATTGGCCTAACACATCTACTAAGGGATTTGTTTCTATCATAAGTTATCATTTTCCAACGAGTTTTTATTAATGAGTACATGAGAAGATATGTTCTCATGGTAACCCGTGACCAAAACAGGTTCATGCATTTAATCGTTCTCATCAAAAGCTTATATGCAACATTTGATCTGGAATGAAGGCTTATCAGAACATGTTTTTCGCTTTTTAACGTTTCTGTATATAATCCACTAGAAGAAAGTCATGAACAGGATCCTCATGAGAAAAATTTGTGACTGAGAGATGGGATGAATGTTTCAACTGAAAGAGTGTGTGTGTAATTCAATTAGGTTGAGTACTCTGGCTCGAGACTGGTGAGTCCTGGGTTCGAATCTCATGAGGCGGAATCGTGGATGCGCACTGCCATTGAGGAGTATCACAATAGGACGAAACGGCCGTCCAGTGCTACCAGGTTTTCCATGGTGGTTTAGCTTCAATTGACTCATGATTTCAATTATATTTATGTACCAAAATTTTAATAAAAAGAAACAAACCAACACTTGTTTAACTAACTAACTAATTAACTAACTAACTTGATTTCTAATGAAAATTAATTTGGAACAGAATAATCTTTCTTTTATAATTCAGTTGGTAATGATAACTTATCAGTAATAATATCTTCTACTGTAATTGTTGAATTACAATAATTCACTGGGATATTTGTAATGGATAAATTGATAGTTTTTTCTTCTGTCAGATCCTTTGAACTATTATTATTAGTAATAGTAGTAGAAAGTATACTTTGACAATAGATTACAGCATCATGTATACTAATAAATGAATTATGTTGAATTTGTGATAATGTTAAATTGTCATTTATTAATACTGTATAGATTTGTGGATCACATATAGTGAATAATATACGAATATCTAATTCAGCATAACTTTTAATTATCTAAAAGAAAAAATGGAACAAAGAGAAAGATAAAGATAAGAATGATAAAATAATGGGGTTAAAAATACATTCAAATGCCCTGGTATGACCGGGAAATTCAGCTCTCCCTCTTCAAATGCTTATATAGCCTCTGTCAGGGAAGTCCTACTCATTGCATTTTCACGACGGTGATGTCATTTACGAAATTAATGGGAAGAAAAACGAATGTCCACTGACGGCTTAAACCAGGTTGGTGGGTATGCCGAATTCACGTAGGGGAGTTGGAAAACCCTGATTTCAAACTAATGGTGCACATGGGCTCCAATATCCTGGGGGATGGCCACGCGTATATATCCTCTGTCAGGGAAGTTTTACTCATTGCCTTCTCGTGGTGAGGGTGTTGTTTACAAAATTGAGAGGACGAAAAGCGAATTTCCGGGGCCTTAACAAGGTTGGTGGATACGGAAAGTTCACCCACGGGAGTTGGAAAACCCTGGTTCCAAACCAATGGTGCACATGAACTCCAGTACCCTGAGGGAACAAATGACGCATGAATCAATCGTAGGTCACCAGCTACCATGGAACTGCACCTCCTCACGATGCTTCACTGCCTTGTGGATCAGATCTTTAAGTAAAAGGCTGGTGGTGTGGCCTCCTAAGAAAACCACCCGCTTCAGTTTGGATACCTGGGCAGTATCACAGACCTCACACAAATCAAATGAGATTTGTGTGGCGCATATGTATATGGTGCCCCCTTCTACCAATATTTATGTGTTTAAATAAATAAATAAAATCATTAAAAACTAAACGATAACATGAATCATATAACAAGATTATTATCATCTATGAAAATAACAAGTCATAAACAAGACTCATTATGGTGTGTGCTACTGATGTCAACAGATATAAGTAGTATGTATCATCAATCAGAAGTGGAAGGCCTGGAGGCAAAAGCATGAGAAAATTGAAGAGAACACAACGAGAACATAGATTGATTGGCACGGAAACGAAGGAATAAACAAAGCCTGAGACGATTGATGGATATTTTGCAAATGAAGTATTTATTGTATGGTTCTCAGATTTTACCAAGATATTCTGTAATGTTGTATCAAATTATATTTGGTTGTTCCGAGCCTGTTATTGTGAAATTCATTTCTATCAAATTAAAATAGGTGTTGACGATGTAATCCTGTCGTTAAAATATCACTGATAGCTTCATACTTGAACGATACAACTTTCAGAGTGTAACAATATTATTAGGTGGCTTATCGAGGTTTAAATCATTTGGATGAAAATATTAAGACCTAGTGATGATACGGGAAATCATTAACATATCAAGAACTAATTAAAACTTTAGATCACCGAATAAGTGTTTGATAGAAGCTAAGGCCATTTTATAATGGTGAAGAAATCAAACTTTGTCTAGGTTTCGTGCTAGCCTTCACTCATCGGCAGAGGGCACCTGGAATCTTGGTACAACTAGTGATCTCTTATAGATTCAAATTCATTTCATTCAAATTGATTGTTTGAGAACTAATCACTAAATTATTGTCATCTTATAGGACTGAAATCTAGTAAATAGAATATGAATTTAGTGTGTTATAACTGTTATATATATATTTCTCCTTATTATGGCCCAGCTATTCCTATTGCTTAGTATTCTTGGACATTAATACACTGAATAAGTCCCTAAATCAGAACACAGTTGAACAGGGAAGAAATTATATTCCGAATAACAAGGATAGATGGAAGTAAGAAGTGCAATACGAAATACGTTAGTATATTTATAATTTTTACATGAGTAGATCCAAGAGTCTTCTCCAAGTATCGGCTAGCGCTGATTGGATAAGAATTAGCCAATGAGCGTGCAGCAACACAATCGTACATGAAACATACTTTAATCCTATCTATGTCCTGCCAACATAATATTAACAACAAGTGATTAATTTTTTGATAGATGATTACATCTTTGTTATGTAATAACAAAAGGATATTTTCTTCAATATTTTGAGCTGAAAATATGTTTTCAAATGGAAACATTTTAAGCAATGTCTCAGAGTTTAAAGTTGATATTCACACCGTAGGCAGTATACTCGGGCTATGTTTCATCTACTTGAATTTGAACAGCAAACCATTAGCCTTAATATAAAAAGTGTGGGTCGAAGACGTGTATATGATCTTTAGTATCACGTATTAATAATGAGGATAAAAAAGCACTAAGCTATCAAAAGGCATTCAATAATTTGACTCCTTTGGATGCTAATCTTAGGTTGAGGGAGAAACTAGAAGGTTGTGGGTTTCGGTCTCCGCCATATTCGTGAGTATGTACTGCTGAAGAGTCTTATACTGGAACGAAGCTAGTCAAAAAGTGTCTTTTTAGTATTTAATAGTTAAAGATAGTTCCTGATACAAAGCAAATGAACTTCAAATCAAACAGTGTTCACAACTTTTTTAATGCTGAAAATTCCAAGTCTAAAATGGCTTATTATCCAATCGTTCGCAGTTTATAACGAGAATAGCGGATGTTACAGTTATCTAGAATTTTCACACAATTGACCTAAATCAATAAAAAATTTGAACTTTTAAGTTTCTTAACATGCATAACAAAAATATAAATCGTGGTAAGCAGAGATGGATAGTGGCTAGCAGTGGAATCCAGGATGCGCGTTTCCACCTATTTGGGACTCGTCAACTGGATGTTTATTATTTATTTATTTATTTAAACACATATATATATATTAGTACAAAAGGGCACCAGGTACATATGCGCCACACAAAATAACGAAAGTAGGAAGAGAAGGGATGAAAAGATAAGGCGGACTGAAATGTACAACCAGAAGACTCTTTCAGTTAAGAAAGTTAGAACCACTCTTTATGTAGAAAGTAAAAGAAGGTTGCAGCAGGATCGCCACTGGCTTCTATTCTCAGCCATATCTGATAACGTCTTTAGCCACTGTAATGCACCATCTCTCGGACCCCAACCAGGGAGTCGTGAAGGACCAACAGAAGCTAGCCCTTTGCAGCTATCTTTCATGCCACGACACCATGTCATACACTGACCACCCCTCCGCTTTTTCCAACCAGTCCCAGGGTCGGCAAATAATGCACGACGTGGAAGTCTCTGGGACGACATTCGTAAAACATGTCCAAGCCACCGAAGTCGGTGTTTCAAGATGGTGACATCAATTGAATTATCGTCTCGGCGCCCGAACACACGATGCCGAACCTCTGCATTACTAACATGGTGTTGCCACTGAATGTCAGCAATCCTTCGGAGACAACGATGATCGAACACAGAGAGACGTCTAACATCCTCAACTCGGAGAGGCCAGGTTTCACAAGCATAGAGCAAAACTGCTCTCACCGACGCGTTGTAGATCCGACCTTTTACAGCCAGACTAACATCACGAAGGCGCCGAAGGTGGCCCAGATTGGCATAAGCCGATCTGGCTTTCATTATACGTGCATCAATCTCATCACTCACGCCCCCACCAGCACTTATATAGCTACCTAGATACACGAACTTCTCAACTTCTTCGATCTGCTCACCATCCAGGGTGAGTACAGGATTAGAATCCTGCCAGTCTTGTAGAAGTACTTTGCACTTGGAGGGTGAAAAGCACATGCCGTACCTGCGGACACTGATTGCCAACTGATTAAGTGCGGATTGCATGCCTTGGGCATTATCGCACAGTAAGACAATATCATCCGCATACTCAAGGTCGAGAAGTCGTTCTCCAGGCAACATATCCACACCGCCATTACTTACATCCATCAGAGCTGTTTCCAGGATGTCGTCGATGGCAAAGTTGAAGAGGAATGGTGAGATCGGGCAACCCTGCCTAACCCCACTGCTCGAATGGAACAAGGGAGAAAGGTGGTTGTATGCCCTCACTCTGCCTGAGGTGTTCGTATACAGGGCCTTTAAGATGTTAATGAACTTCTCAGGCACACCCTTCTTCAATAGACAATCCCAGAGAACAGTCCTGTCCAACGAATCGAAGGCCGCCCTGATATCAAGAAACACTACAATTGTTGGCCCCATCGGCCACCTAGACGACTCTCTTCTGTGCCTAAACGCCCGACCTGTGCATTCAAGTCTCCGGCTAGTACTACAATATCTGTCGAACGCGCTTTCTGGAGAAGAACTGTTAACTGATGGTAAAACTCATCCTTGATTGCATCTGGGCTGCAATCTGTCGGGGCATAGGCGGAGATGACGAAAAGACACCGTTTCTCACGCCGATTTCTTCTCACTTTGATGGAACTTTCTAATCTAACAGCACATAGCCGACTGTTAATGGGGATCCAATCGATTAGTGCTGCCTCAGCCCTAGCGCTTAGTGCGACACTAACGCCAGCAAGACCAGACGAACATGCCACAGGGTCCCCGGATAAGCGCACGTGGAACAAGCTTTTCGAGGCGACAGATGGAGAGCGGATTTGTAGTACTTCACTAGAGTCTTGAATACAGGTCTCGGATAGACAACAAACGTCAACATTAAGACCTTCCAAAGACATAGCCAGCCCTATCTGTTGTCTGATCTGCATTAGTGTGCGAACGTTGAAGGAAGCCAGCTTGAACGGCGTACGTGGTTTCAGAAAGACTGCTTCAGTATTCATTATCGGTGGAAGCATTCACTTTCAACCAGACAGTGACTGGAGATCGTTTAGAAAGGACAGATTTTCCACCATGGGCGAGCTGCTGCATAAGTTGAAAAGTAAGGTTACACAAATTGGGGATAAAAGGGGGTGAGTTAGCGATATGGTAAATAATAATAATAATAATAATAATAATAATAATAATAAAGGTAATAATAATAATGTAAATTGTCTTGCTTTTAGTATGATCAGGGATATTATCGTCAATAGAGTTCATCATTTCATTTATTTGTGTGTGGGCTGTGATACTGCCCGGGTGCCCAAACCGAAGCAGGTGGTTTACTTAGGGGACCACACCCCGAGCCTTTAAAGGTCTGATCCTCAAGGCAGTGGAGCATCGTAAGGAGATGCAGTCCCATGGTAGCCGTTGATCAGCAGCAGGTTCATTCGCCATTCGTTCCATCAGGATACTGGAGCCCATGTGCACCATTGGTTTTGAATCAGGGTTTTCCAACTCCCCTAGTTGGACCCTCCGTGTCCACCAATCCGGTCATAGCGCCGGACATTCGCTTTTCGTCCTCTCACTTTCGTAAACAACAGTAATGCCACGAGAAGGCAGTGAGTAGGACTTCCCTGGCAGAGGCTATATATTCGCTGGCCATGTGAGAGCATTTCGAGAGGGAGAGTAGACTCTCCCCATTCTCGGCCGTACCAGGGCATTTGGGGGCTCAACTGGATGTACCTGCATCTCAAAGTTGATATTCACTCTGGGACTCGAGCCCAGTACCTTTCGCTTCAAACGCCATCGCGTTATCCACTCGGCCACTAAGTCCTGATAGCCACTTGCTTGTGCGATAAATTTAAAAATATAAATCATTTATTCAATCAGTGAAAAAAAACTTACATCAGTAACAGTTCGCATACCGACAACATCCAAATAAATCCATGATGATATGTCTAAGATAATAAATTTCAATTGACTAGTAAGATCATTATCATTTTTATTACAGTTAGTCTAGAAAATAGAATGAGAAGTTAGAAAAACAACAAAACTTTCAAATAACTATCTTGTTTAGGACTTCAATTGATCAGTCTCTTATTGACATATGGGCAAATTATAATGATTGCCTCAATATTGCCTCAAGTCATAAGAATTATGAGCAGAGATGGACTTAGTAGCTAAATGGATAACGTGATAGAGTTTGAAGCGTACATTACTGGGTTCAAGTCTCGGAGTGAACATCGACTCTGGGATAAAGGTATATGCAGATGAGAATTTAAAAAAAACAACAAACTTTCAAATAACTGTCTTGTTAATCTGAATAATACTAATAAAAACTTATTTTGAAGATGTATAGGCAGTCTATTCAATAAGTAAATACCTTAATTGAAATCATTGAGAATTTCATTTTATAAACTCTTCATATATATGAATTTTATCCCATTCAAAATATTCCCCATTTCTTTATGGAGAAACATTTTTTTATATCCGTTCCCGTCATTCTCAACATCTGTCAAAAGTCGCCACTGATTAGATCACTGAGTAGTGACTGGTATCTTGTTTATTTAATCTTTCATTGCTGATCAAATTCTGTCGATTAAATTGTAATGTGACCGCTAATATCAGTGTCTCAATATCAAGTGGATTATGTCGAGATATTAGGTCAATAGAAACAGTTGGTAAGAAATCCTATTTGACCTATATTTCATAGTAGATAGCAATCATCAATCATGATAGTGATCACTACTTAGTGACCAATCAGTTGTAAGCATTTCACTAATACAGAAGGTCAGCTACATCCTGATCGACTCAATAGTATATTCTCAGACTGTTGAGCTAGTTCCAATCCCACACGGAGTATATATCTCCTTAAAATTATAGGTATGCTTTGCTGATGAGTTTTAACTAGCAAAAAAACTACGTCAGACAGAATTCCCCTTCTTCTAAATCCAACTAACAAATGTCTCACATAGTCCTTCTTATATATTGGGCTCTTCACCTTACTCATCATTGTTCATCATCTTGAGATCAACTCATTACTGTCTATGCATGATCATTTAGAGTTTCAAACACAAAAAGGTATCATAGAAAAATATTTTTCAATGAATCTGAAATATGATGATCAAGTTATAAGTTATAAAAATGAAAATAATCACTCTTGAATATCTCTATGCACACTGTAGTAATCTATCAAAGCGTTTAAACAATATAAATGATTAATCATTTCTCTTAGTTACATGTATTAACAAACAACCTCGATAGATCAGTTCACGTATATATATATATATATATCTGCTTTGATTATCAACTGTTGAAAATGATTTTTCAAATGAAACAGATCTTCACAAACCAATTTTGTATTTGCTAATGACTAGCTTCAAAAAAAACAACGACATTTCGAAGTATTGGTAAAAAGTTATAACATGTGGTGTTAATCGTTTTTCCAATTAGGTATTCAATGATTGTTGTGTTATATCGTGAACTCACTGAGGTTAAAAGTGTGAATCAGTGATTTTTTTTTTCGGGAAGGAATAAAAGGTTGGAAGGTATGTGTACTAGTCCTGGAGATGGGGAACTCTTAGTTGGTTTTCTTATTATCTGAATGCATCTATAAAATGAACAGTAGCCACGTGTTAGAACAAGGAGTTTATCATCCATTGATAATTCGATGGGGAAGTCATTAATTGAGTAACAATAAGGTAATTCTGGAATTGTGAACTCTTTCAGGAGTTTCCTCTGTAAATTTTCTGTTTTAGAAAGTGTTATATTCTTCAACATAGAGAACTTGAGCGAAACAATTATTAGCTACCGATATTCTCCAGTAATTTTAGTATATAAGATTAATTTCGAAGGTAAATCATCTTAAAACAACACAAGAGTCATACGTTTATTGCTGCTTAAACATATCAGGATTTCATTAATAGGAAGACTTGTATGACAGAAGGATTATATTTTATACACGAATGCCTACTCAAAAAGTGTTCTCCTAACAACTGCTAGACACAGACCACTAACCAAAACTGCATAATCACTTGTAAAATAGGTAATTAAAGAAGGAAAGATTCTTCACACAATTGACTAATGATCACTGATATCCTCACATATCAAAAGGAAAATGGTAGACACGGACTAGTTACATTTGAACATTTAACAACCATTGATACTTGTGTCATATACTATAGATTTTTTTGTCCAATATTACAATACTACCATGGATTGATTGAAGTTAGACATTAATACCATTGGATGCCGGGCTCAATGGTTTAGAAGTTAAGTATTGGCGCGCAAAACCGAAGGTACTGAGTTCGATTTTCGTGTACGGAGTAATGAATGCGAAGCGTACCACTGAGAAGTTCCATTCTATGACCAAACGGCCATTCACTGCTTCCAGATTTTCACTCATGATCTAGCTAAGATCAGTTCGTGATTTCAACAGTAGAAATACTACACATCATTGTATAATCATTAGAGACTAAAAAAAACTTTCGACTTAAATTATTATTAACTTATGTAATAATAATATAAAGAAATAATCCAGGTCAACGAAATATGATTTGAAAAAAAGGACAATTATTTGATAAAGTTAACAAATAAATGAAAGTACTTTTACATAATCCATGTTATATACTTCATTAAATAAATTGGTTACATGATAATACAAATTAAATAGATTGTTTCTACATCTAAAAATATGTTAAATTTGTAGTATTATCACTGTTTAAATCACGAGTCGATTCAAGCTAGACTACTCTTGAAAAATTGGAAGCACTGGATAGCCATTTCATCCTAGTATGGGACACCTAAGCAGTGGACATCCACGATCCTGCACGTGACAGTTGAACCTATGACCTTCGGTCTCGCGAACGAACGCTTAACCTTTAGGACACTGAATCGGTTGGCATCCAAAGGTGACTAACTTCAATCGATCTATGATCTTGAGCAACCCTTCATCCAATTTCTGAGGGAGATAGCTGTCTCATACCCGACACGGATTGGACTCCACTGGTCACAGCTTCTCACTAGAACTCCAGGAAATCTATCTTGAAGCTAGTCACTTGTGAGCGCATGATTGTTATTAGTATGGGGATTTGTTGAAATCACGAGTTAATCCGCTGCTAGCCACCATCTATCTTTGCTTATAATGTTAGTGACTTAAACAATATCAAGGCAATCCGTATAAGATGAACATATGTCAATACGAGACTGATCAATTGAAGTATTAAACATTAATGGGAAGATTCAAATAAACAACACAAAATGCACTCTTTACACAATCTACACACACAGCACTACTTCATATTACAAATGCATGCTTTTGATGTAGGTTTGTTCTCTGAGCTGGATGGTTTGGTCGTGGAGCTTTCATCGTCCTTCTGAACGACATCATCAGTACAAACTTCGGGTAGAAGTGAAGTGTTTGAATTTCTCTACATGTGATTCACAGCTTGTCCTATGCACCTGTGAACCACATGTAGAGAAATTCAAACACTTCACTTCTACCCGAAGTTTGTGCTGATGATGTCGTTCAGAAGGACGATGAAAGCTCCACGACCAAACCATCCAGCTCAGAGAACAAACCTACATCAAATTCACCCACCTGAGCTGCAAATCTTCTTCACCATCACAAATGCATGCATTTTTCATGTCTACCACCACACAAATATACACAAGGATTTGTTATACGGAATCACCTTGACCAAAAAATAACTTGACACTAACATGTTCAAACCTTTCATGGAAAAAAATAGTCTACATTGTTTCTTTTGTACTATTTAAACTTGTATTCCTTTTATTTCGGTTATTTATTTATTTACATTGTCACGAAACGGTAGAAGTACAAATTTCTAGTCATCGGGATATCATTTAAATGATTGAATGAATATTGAGAGGCCTATGGTTTTTTTTCAATTAGGGGACAATTAGTCTATAATCTAATGAAATGTTGATGTGGAAACTTAAAGCAACGAACCATTCTATTCTTATACTTTTTAATTTAAAAAGACAATATGATTTTGGAATAAAATAAGAAACATGGGATCAGAACAAAAAGTTAATGACTATTGAACTATATTGAATTAAGCACTGTAGTCTTTTGAAATAGATGACTATGGAATAACCATAAACTATGGATAGAGGGATAAGGTAATATAAACAAAGATTTTTTGTGGCTAACAGTGGAATCTAGGACACGTGTTTCGTCCTATTTGAGACTCGTCAGTTGGATGAAATTGCATTCTAAAGTTGGAGCGAGTGGTACTGGGTTCTAGTCCCGGAGTGAACATGAACTTTGTGATGCAAGTAAATCCAACTGACGAATCTCAAACAGGAAGAAACGCGAGTCGTAGATTCCTCCGATAGCCACTATCCATCTTTGCTTATAATATTTGTGACTTAAGGCAATATTGAGGCGATCCGTACAGGATGCGCATACGCCAATAAGAGACTTATAAATTAAAGTCCTATACAAAAGGGATAATCACAGTAGTGGTATAATCACTTTCTTTAGCTTTCTGTAAATCTAGTATGTAAATAATACTTTAAAATTCTCATAGCACGATTTTATACTAATGTTATACTATTTATATCTAGTTCATTTAGTCTAAAGCTATCAATTTGAATAAGTTATCTTTTGTTTCATTAGCTCAGTCTATTGCTGTGTTACTAAGATACATAACAGATCCAGGTGATATACATTTCTATAAATAGTATATCGTACGGAGCTGAAACTTGGAGCATTACTACAACCATCATCAAAAAAGTACAAGTATTTATAAACAATTGTCTACACATGATATTCAATGTCCGTTGGCCGGATACCATCAGTAACAGTCTACCATGGGATAGAACAAACAAACTTCCAAAGGAGGAGGAAATTAGGAAAAGATGCTGGACTTGCGTAGGACATAGATTGAAGAAATCATCAGAGTGCATCACGATGCAAGCAATAACTTGGAATCCTGGAGGGAAACAGAAAAGAGGAAGCCCAAGGAACACATTGCGTCTGGAATTGGAAGCAGATATCAAAGGAATGAATAGCAGCTGGAAAGGATTGTCCAGAATAGAGTTCGATGGAGAATGCTGGTAGGCGGTCTATGCTCCTCCACGAGGAGCAAAGGTGTAAGTAAGTTTGTAAATAGTATATCATTTCAAGTCACAAACCAATGTTACAATTTAGCCCTTAATTAACTAAACATGAAAATGGAATCTAATTAAATTTGACTAATTGGGCTAAACAGACTTTTTGTTTATTGTCTCCTGTTGATGTAATGTATGACAACTCGGATAGATGAATTTTCATTCTAGGTCTGATGTTAAATTATGAGTAATTTACTTGTAGATTGATACTATATATAAGTCTACTTGCAATGATATTCTTTGTATTCATTAATTAAGACTTCTCATCAAATAAAACAACATTAGACAGTGAACTCAATGCCAGTCACTTGTGAAGATTTGAATACCTACGCGACAGATCACTTCATAACTTACAATGTATTATGATTGAATAAAAAAAAAACCAAAAACACGTACAAAAGACATTATATAACAATTGTAAAATAGATCTTACATCAGTTGAAAGTTCTAAAGGATGTGGACATTTATCACAATCTTTCTTTTTACGAAATTGGACTCGTCTTATTAAATTCTTAATAAAGGGTAATTGATTTTGTCTACCATATTGATACTGATTAGGATTCTTTTTATTAAGTTGTTGTTGTTTACGTTCCAATTGTTGTTTATTACGTTGACGTTGTTTAATCACTTTATGTGGATCAATATTGGTCATTTGATGAATCCAATTTTGAAAAGACTCCGAATTTGCATAGTATAATGGACCACCATATTTTAATATAATAATATTGGGAAGTTTTACAGCCTAAAAATAAAATTAGAAAGGGTTTTGTGGAGATTTCAGTATTTTTTTAATAGTTGAAATCATGAATCAATTGAAGCTAGACCACCATCGAAAACCTGGAAGCACTTGACAGCCGTTTCGTCCCGTTATGGGACTCCTCAGCAGCGCGCGTCCACGATCTCGCACTTGCGAGATTCGAACCCAGGACCTACCAGTCTCATGCCAGAGCACTTAACTGACAATTGGTGAACGGTTGCTCAAACTTCGTGGATTGGTTGAAGTTAGACATTAACACCGTTGGATGCCGGCTCAGTGGTCTATCGGTTAAATGCTCTGGTGCGAGACAGGTAGGTCCTGGATTCGAATCTCGCGAGTGCGGGATCGTGGATGCGCACTGCTGAGGAGTCCCATAACGGGACGAAACGGCCGTCAAGTGCTTCCAGGTTTTTGATGGTGGTCTAGCTTCAATTGACTCTTGATTTCAACTATGTAAAATATTATTGAATTTACATAGAAATTCGATTCTAACATTGGTTGTGATATTTATCACAAAATCGAAAGTAGTTCAAATATATGCTAACTAGGTTTACTAAAATACCATTTTGTACTGCATTCATAATCTAAGTACGTCAAAAAAATGGTTAGTTGAAGTCATAACAAAGATATGTTTCCCGTCTAGGAATTCAATAATTATCAATCACTATGAACATTTGTTGAGATTGTAGTATTTTGACAGTTGAATTCACAAGTTTATTTAAACTCGACTACCACTGAAAACCTTCAAGCAATAGACGGCTATTTCATCCTATTATGGGACTCCTCAGAAGTGCAAATCCACAATCTCGCACCGAGGACCTTCAGTCTCACACGCGAACTCTTGACCTCTAGAACAATGAGCCGATAGCCACCTAACAGTATCTAATTTCAATTGATCCATGATCTAACGTAACCCTTCATCTATTGTTCGAGGTGGATAACTGTCCCACACCGGACACTATCAATCTGCCTAGGACAAAAAAGATTGAAGGCTTTTTGGTTACGGTGTTTGTAAAATAGTTCAAATAAATGTGTGGTCACGTCAGTGATAGTGCTCGTTTGCCTAATTAGAAGTTAAAAGCGTTTGTCATTAAGCCGCCAATTAGCAAATAAAAAGCTAGGAAAAAAATTGATTAAACTAATTATTTAGGAGAAAAAATCTGCTATATAACAACGAATTCAATTAAGTAACGATGCACGGAACACAAGTATCATCCATCATAAATTACATATGTTTTACGAATTTAATGACTTGACCTAACGAGGCAGAAAATTAAACATCATAGTTAGGTAATCATTCCATTGGATAACGACTAACATATATTTCTCATATCCATAATAGTATATTTTACTAGAAGAAAAATCTTTTTCTAATGAGCAGCTGCCTTGTCTTCGGATATGAGTTCGATTAGGGGAAGAAGAGTTGCAATAGACATTCTGGTCTCGTGAACAGTGATTACTCAACCACATTGTATTACTAGATATTTATCAATTGATCGACGGATTTTCTACATTAATTTATCCATGAGTAAAGAAAATTTTCATAACAAATGATAAAAGGTTACAATTGATTGATCACTGGGTGGTGAACAATATCATGCGTGTCAAGTCCTTCTTAGTGCTGATCCGATGCTATCAATCAAGTTGCAATGCGTCCACTAGTCTAAGTGGCTCTAAACTGCGTGCACTATGTTGAGATAAGATGGTGGTTGGAGGTGGTTTGAATGTCTAACATTATATCATCAATAAATTCTATACAAACAAATGTTAAACAAAACCTCAAGTTACGAATCTGATTAAAAGTTACGTAGAAAGTATTGAACATAATCTAATAAAATAATAATACAATAGGTAGGTAACTTACTTCATCATGTCTCTTCACATCAACATAAATATTTGTGTTGGGAATTTGACCAAGTTCATAATAATATGTTGATTGTGTACGATATAATACCGTTAATAAGGAGAAACACAAACCAGTTAGTAAACCTATCGGGACATCAATAAACACGGTGGCCATGAATGTTACAAGCCATATAAGCTTAAAGATTAGAACCAAGGAAAAAAAGAAATTACTAATATTTAAAAATAGGTATTCAATGAATGAATGAATAGAATGATACATGAATTTGACTACTGTATGACCGTTTACAGAAAAAACCGTTTGATAAAGAAATTTATTTACATCTATGGAAACTAATGATTCACATTCTAGTAGCCCACATATCCAAACTATTATGATGATTGTGTAGTGTTTAGCTCTTTTTACTTTTCATTGGTTTCGTGGTTCTGCTATATTCGAAGACATTATGAAATCGCCTAAATAGGCTAACGGAACGAAGGAATAGCGATACAACGATAAGAAAAGCTATCCCGATATGTCCCAACTTTGCTAACTAGAAGAAGATCATGTTCAGAAGAGGGGAAGTATATTCTACAAACACAGGACTCAAGCGTATATACATAGCATAAAAATATTATTAGAAAACATCACGAAATAGCATATTAAAACGGACAACGAAACCATGACATTTAAAGTCCTTCCAAGTGGGAAATACAATATGAAGGTGAAAATAGGAGCTTTTGGTGCGTAAATAAAAAAATTCAAACTTCCAAAATAAAATTACAAAAATAAAACGTTTACTAAGTGAGTTCTGAGGATCTAGAATCCCCAAAAAGTTCTTACTAATTTATAATGAAACACACATTATAAAATTGTGCAAAATCTTACTACTATAATGTGGTCTACTTATATCCATATAAGTACCATATGGTGAGGGTCAGTCATAGAATGTATTTTGGCAGAAGACCGATAAGGAAAGAACTGAAATGAAGCGCAATTGGTAGGAAAGTGCATGAACAATGAAATTAGAGAAGAAGGATTGATATTTACAGAAGGAACATTTAAGATTGAGACAATTGGTTATTATTTTGCAAATTAACTCTTTGTTGTATGGCTATCAGAATTTAGTGAGATGGTCTGTAATTTTCGATTAGATCCTCATGAGGATATTGTTCGCTTATATATGTTGGTCTAAGTCTGTAATTTGTTCTTAAATACGTTCGATTATCCCAAACCGATATATTGTTCACTATACTATAACATGAGGATGGCTCAGATATCAAAGAGTAGAAATAAAAATAATGAATGTACTCACTCAATACAATGGGAATGATTACAAAAATACCAATGTATAACACTTACCATATCATATATTGAAGCACGATATAATGCACGTAAATCCATAATTTGTAAGAAGATACTTTCAAGCGATACAACAATAATCGATGATAAGACACACTAGAAATCATCATGAAAGTAAGTCAAAACAATAAAAAAAAAGGAACCGAAAAAATATAAGTAAATAGTGAACAGTTGTCAGGTGGTAACAATTTTTTAATGTAAACATTCAATATTAACATTTACAATTAATTATTACAGAATTATTAACAGATAGAGACATAACAACATGTCATTGTAATTTAGAAAGAGATATTGGACAAGATACTTAGCCTAGAATATCTGTCCAAAATTGAACTCTGTATAATCAATATATCCAATGGAAAGCATAAGATATAACAAAAAGGTATAATCAGAATTATAACATTTTTAAAATGAAAAACAAATGCTATTAATGTATGTGAAACATGGCCATTAAGAGTAGAAGATACTCGTAGGTTACTAGTATTTGACCACAGATGCCTTAGAAATATTGCTCGCATCTCCTGGAATCACCGGATAAGTAACAGTGAGGTTAGATACAGGGTATTAGGGAATTATGGTAAATCAGTTGATGAGGTGATGAATATTCATCGACTGAGATGGTTGGGCCATGTGTTACGCATGCCTGAACACCGATTACCACGACGCGCTATGATGACTAGTATTGGGGATGGTTGGAAGAGAGTTAGGGGCGGCCAAACCAAAACATGGCATCAGTGTTTGAAGTCACTAGCTTCTAGCCTGAGCCATGTTGGCAGATGCAGACTACCTGGTTGGGGTCCGCGTGACTATCGTAACCAATGGTTGGAGACTCTGGGTGACATGGCTCAGAATCGATCACAATGGCGTAGGTGTATACACTCCTTATCTTCCCTTAAACTTTGAGATTAAAATTTCTTCATAACTTTTTTCCTTCCTATACTATATCCTTCTATACAACCTTTCTTTATATACTACCACCACTAAATTAATGTACTTCTATGAATCCGGTGTTCATCTTGTTGTGCTAACGAGGTATGGCAACTTGGACCGATGCATATATGTGCCTGGTCCTACGTTGTAGCTGACTGACTGATTAAATGTATTACAGTAACAACTATTTAAAACAAAGCAGGATATTTTCTAAAAAAGGGGAAGGTTCCAAAAATAAAATTCTCTGCCGCTTTTTGAATTAACATTCAGGATATCAGGATTCAGTAAAAACATTCATCGAATCATTGCGGCGTTGACCATGTGGGAAATAGATTCCTCAAAAGTGACCAGAAAAGAGCAAGAAAAACTCTGAAAATATTGAACAAGACTCAGATCATAGTATCAGCCGAAAAAGAATGCATTCATAGTGGTTATAGATAAGGAGGATTATCTCAAGAAAGCAGACCTACTAAACGATACCCATTGTATACCGACCTCAAATGATAAATTCTATCAAAGGATTAGATGATCAAATCAAAAAGAAGCTAAGAGAACTCGCTGAAAAAGAATAAAATACAAAACAGTATCAACGAAGGGCGAAATCCAGTGGTACTGTTCTGTTTTAATTCTGCCGCAGGTATAAACTATACAAATCGGCTACTATTTTACGATAAACTGTATTACTTCCAACGACTCCACACTGCAATTTATACAAAAAACTTTGTAGGTTGTTGAAGCACATGACTAAAACATGTGATCACTATATCAACTGTTTAACATAGTTCTTCGAAAAGATCGAAGAAATACAACCAAACAAAGATAAAATGATGGTACCTTTCTATACAATACAATGGAGATAAAACATGACAAAGATGTCATGTCATAGCTGTACAGCAACAGCAAATAACTCTCAAAACGTACAAAAAGTGCAGTAGCTCAATTTCGTATAAGTTTGAAAGTTAAATCACAAGTTTTAAGGTTCAGAGTTCTATCATCGATGCAATCGAAGATACGTAATATTATAGAGTTCAATGTTAAGATGAAATAGTCATCCACCACTTTCTAATTTTTAGTGGTTATTTAACTATATTCAATACACCTTGTAAGACCATAAGACATAGTAAAGAAATCTGTTGAAAATATTAAGATCACATTATCAATCTTTTTTTTAGAAGAACGTTATTTAACAGTTGAATTCACGAGTCAATCTAAGCTAGATCATCATTGAAAACCTGGAGGCACTAGATGGTCGTTTCTAGATTTTCAATGGTAGTCTAGCTTAGATCGACTAGTGAATTGAACTGTTAAAATACTACAATCTTCACAAATTCCCATACTGAAAATGTTATTTAGATGTCTAAAACGGATTATATATAATCCTGATAGCCAGGTCATAATGTTATTGACATGCGATTGACCTCATAATGGATTATACATTATAACAATTTCCAATTGTGTCTCTTTAATATATTTTATTTAAACATGTGATGTTAGTATAAACAAGAGTTTATTCCACTGAAAATCATGTTAATTGTTTGATAGTGATTCATTTGATAATTTTCTTTTAATAACTTGATGTTGTGTGGTAATCATATCAGTTGATAATATTATATCATAGTGTGAAACAGTAACCAGTGGAGTTCAACCAGGTCTGTTGGGAGATATCAACTCACTGATGACATTAGTGAGTGGTTGCTCAATTTTGTGGATTGGTTGAAGTTAGATATTAAAATCACTGGATCCCGACAAGCTAAGTGGTCTATCGGTTAAGTGCTCGTGCGCGAGACTGGTAGGTCCTGGGTTCGAATCTCGCGAGTGCGGGATCGTCGATGCGCACTGTCACTGAGGAGTCCCATAATAGAACGAAACGGTCGTCCAGTGTTTCTAGGTTTTCCATGGTGTTCTAGCTTCAATTGACTCATGATTTCAACTATGAAAATACTGAAATCTCCACAAAAACCCCTTCTGATCTATAATTTTGTATAATTATTAGGATAAAGCAGTTGTAGGGATAAGTTAATTTATAGTTTTACACTACACATTGATTTTAAATAAGCAACTATTAAAAGTTTAAAAAAATCCCACCGAATAGTTGTTTCATTCTAGTAATGGTATCCACAGTAGTGCACATCCACGACCCCATCAGAGGTAACAGTCAATATATTCTTGAAACCATTGATTTGGTATCTGCTGATTAGATTTCTTAATTTGGGAACGTAAGTAATCTTCAAAGCTAGAAATGTTAGTCATTGAATAATGAACTCAAGACCCTAGATTCTATTAATAATGAAGTTTTGGATACGTACTCTAATGATAAAGTCTTATATTGAGGTGAAACAGCTATGTGGTGCTTCTCAACTTTCAATGCTTATTTAATTAGTGTGTGATATGATATGAAGTTAAGTAAATTGAATGGCCTACATAATTAGCTAGACAAACATTTTGATTAATTTACTTCAAATAACTAACTACCAATTGAAAAGATCTCTTTCACAAGTTTCATCTACATTAGACTACATAATTTAGATAAAAGATGATTCAAACATTCCATAAACTATGGATATGAACAAAAGAACATTAATGAATATGCTAAAAAAAATACATACCTTTGGAACCGTTCGTAGAAATTGTCCAATCACAGTAATAACAAGTAGAAGAATACAACAAGAAACCAAAGAAGCGACCTGTTCATTCAGTTAAAAGATAGAAATTTACTAAAGAAAAATATATGATTTGAAAAAAAGAACACTTTCTGTTTGATAACTGACAGATAGGAATAAACAAATTGATAAGCCATGGTGTAGAGCTGTGTGTCACACCAACAGAACCTAATATCTATATTTTCGGGTTGGAGCTCAGAGATGTTTATTGTTTGTGCCCCTAAATTCCCTCGTACAGCCGCGGGTGGGGAGAGCTAGTTTTCACTCTCGAAATGTGCTCCAGGATCCTGAGGGAACAAATGGCGTATGAACCTATTGTTGGTGACCGGCGACCATGGGACTGAATCTCCTAACGTTGTTTCACTGCTTTGTTGATTAGGCTTGTAGGTCTTAAGATCGGGGTGTGGCCCCCTATGAAAACCATTGTGGTGTGGTCTACTTATATCTATATAAGTAGTATATGGTGTTGGTCAGACATAGAATGTATTTTGGCAGAAGACCGATGAGCAAAGAACTGAAATGAAGCGCAATCGTTTGGAAAATGTATGAGCAATGGAATTATAGAAGAAACAGTGAAAATTGAAACAGTTGGTTGTTAATTTGCAAATTGACTGTTCATCGTTTGGTTATCAGAATTTACTGAGATAGTCTGTAATCTTTGCTTAAATACATTCGATTGTCCCCAACTAGTATTCTGTTCACTACACCATCTGCTTCGGTTTGGGCACTCGGGCATTATTCTAGCCCTTACACGAATCGAATGGTGAAGTGTAGCGCATCTACATTCGGTGAATTCTTGTACCAATATTTATGTATTTTAATACGTAATGAAAATAAGTGACGTATGTAATGTTTACTCAATCATCAGCGCTGATCAACTTCTATTAAACCAGGTTTCATACTGGTTGAAACTCGTAGCTATGGTATACTTGAAATGTTTGGCGGACTGATGCTAACTGTGGGACTAGGACGGGCGTCACCTAGTTTCATAGCTTGTAACGTTAATATTGAACTACACGGTTCAAAACTCACTTCCTGCAGGAATGAGGTATTTACAATTGATCAGTCACTGAGTAGTGGTGACAAGTAAGAAAACCGTTATATCATTACAGAGTATCCTCTAACCATTACCCTTCATCTCATTACATCGATACATTACTTATTTATCAAATTAACTTTCAAATAAAATCTATTTTTCTAAGGGTATTTCCAATTCCGAAACATTATAGGTTATTAAGGTAGCTGATAAGAGCTATATAAGTATGAAATACAATAAATCCATAATGTACTGTTTAACTCGTTGTTGTTCACTTTGAATGTCATAAAAGGGAATCGTGCGTAAGTGTGTACGTGTATTTATATGCATCAAATGTAGCTTTTTTTAAAAGGAAAAACACCACTTATATAGCAATTCCCAAATGTTTATAATTATAAAAATCACTTATGGACTTGACAGGGTAAAATATAAAAATGACTAACTTGAGAACACATTCCAACATTACAAGCAACTGAAGTCCGAGCCAAAGCACCAGATGAGGGTTGACAACGAAAAAATCCAGATATTACATTGGACAAGCCTAGTGCATTCAGTTCCTGTTTTGTAAACATAGAAACATACAGAGATCAACTATTGTTTGTATAACCCGACATAATACAAATACGGAAGCAATTATTTGTCGACTATACAATCCTACCTACCTATGAATAATTATCACTACGCTGATCATACATTGAACTATAGTGTACATTAAATGGTGTCATCAAGTTACAATCTTTCATGTCACGAATTGACTACGAGGTGCTTAACACAGCTATGTCGCTCCAGTATAGGACTCGTCGACAGTGGAAGTCAACCTTAATGGTCACGTTAATGATCATATCCTGAAAGTTCAAGTGTCATGGCGAGCGCTTAATCTTCAGATTACTGAGTCGGTACTCAGTAGTTTACAATTTAACCTTAGTCAACTCATTGAAATTCCGGAATATTTTCATTGGTGGTATCTGTTTCATGCTTGGAATGGTGGAGTCTAGTAACGTTTCATGATCTTCAACGGTTTTCTTACCAAAGTCCAAAGATGATGTGAAAATTTAGTCTTATAACAATTATATATCTATACTTTATGTTTATTCTAACAGTTAGGTCCCATAGTTTTGGTAAGAGTATCTTCGCAAAAATAACTGATCTATATGGGGATTTAGGATGTAAAGTTTTAACGAAATAACAACATCGAGAGATAAAATGTCTGAGTTCGAGGTTCAATCAGTAATCCGGATGAAATCTTGAAGTAGATATGTCAAATTTTGTGAATAACTGTACAACTCCTATATTATTGAGTTGAACTATTTCATATACCAGACACATAAACTATCAATCCAAATTCACATTATGATCAGATTATCATCTACCTACGGAATTTAAGACTTAAAACACAACACAACTTTTAGTCGTACTTGTATTGTAACCCCCTAATAACTCTTAATACCACTGCTGAAAATTGAGAAGACAAAATAGAGACGTTTCATCATGATGATACAATAAAGAACGTTTGTGTATTGAATAAAATATTTGGCATGTCATTGAGAAACATGAATTGAAGATATAACTTTCGGAGAACGAAGTTCAACTGTATTCAAGCACTTTATAAATACAAAATGATGAGAATATAGAAATTCTCGGCGAGACTATAATTTATGGACAGCCAATCAGAAGCGTTCGAGGGACTTCAAGGTCACAGTGCCAATTTCAGTACCTGATGCTCATGTACGATCGGTTCACAGAGAATTTTAGAGAAGACTTGACAATTAAGCGGCTACAACAAATGAAACTACTAAAAAGTTGCTGTATTTTTAATTACGAGTAACAAATGACTTGTAGATTTTGTGCAGACTACCGTGATGTTGTCCTTCGATGTAATATATGTTGAAGGAAGACGTTTGTTATAATAGGAACCTTTATTGCTCGATCCAGATTGAGACTAAGGTATATTATAATAATTGCCTCCAGCTGTATAATGAAAGCACCAGTAACATTGGCTGCAATAATCGCAGATGTTACTGAAGCATCGGCTGTGCAGTAGTATGAGTACTGTAGGGACATATCCATAATAAAAATGATAACCTTACACAATCGGAGTACACACAAACAATAATGAAGCTATGTGGTCGAGATTGAGAGGGTTTTTATGATCTTATCATGGCTCCAGAGACCAACTATTATGAAGCCATATGGATGAGTTCCTCTACCTTATGCATTAGGATTTTGGAATCTTTGAACCATTTTCTAACCTTGATAAGTTTTTGGACCATATAAAAGAAGTGTATCTACTTTAATTATTTGGTTTTGTATAATATATTTTTACTCAAGCTGACTGTTTACTGATTGGCTAATATTTCTCAAGGTCACTTAAGATTCGTTCAAAGGTCGTCCATAAATTATAGTCTCGCCAAAGTCTCTTCTTACACTGAACTAGTCTGAATTATTTGGAAACAATATACCCTCTAGAATATAATTATCGTTGTTAATGACAATGATTTTGATTAGAAAAACATAAGTATTTACATGAATTAAACTTGATATAGAGCTAATTATCCGATACAAAAATTGCAACTTTTATTTATAGATCAGAAGGGATTTTGTGGAGATTTCAGTATTTTCATAGTTGAAATCATGAGTCAGTTAAAGCTAGATCACCATGGAAAACCTGGAAGCACTGGATGGCCGTTCCGTCCCATTGTGGGACTCCTCAGTAGTGAGCATCCACGATCCCGCCCCGCGAGATTCCAACCCAGGATTTATCAGTCTTGCGCTCGAGCGCTTAACCTCTAGACCTAATCTAGGTTTCCGCACATGGTTCTTTTAAGTTTTTTTTTTGGAGTTTAACTGAGATTGAATTTCGGAGAAGCAACATGTTTTTTTCGAAGATGAAATTATTCACAGCAAATTTGAAGTAGCACAGATTAGATCGATACTTTCGAAGAAGTATGCAAAATTAACCATTGTTTTTTAATATTACACAACAATAAGATAATTTTAAATGAATGTTTATTACAGTTGAACAAATTCTGAAGTCACATGGTCTATTCTATAGAGTAGCCAAAATAAAAATTGAAATAATTACAAATGATTAGCAAAATCATTATATATGGATATTAAAGCTAAATGAATACAATCATTGTCTGTTGTAGGAAAGGTGTTAAAAGTTTTAGTTTCATTGAGGAAATATATATAAATCTGGTTACAATAGATTGATTACTAAGTAATAACCAATATTATGTATGTCAAGTCCTTCTTAGTACAGATCGAATTTTATCGATCAAGCTACAATGTATTCACTAATCTAGGTGGCTCAATATTGTATGCACTATGTTGAGATATAAAGTGGTGTTTGGAGGTGGTCGACGAAAAAAACCTGAACCTAGGTTTTGTGCTCTTTAGCACTCTGTACAACCCAGTGATACATTAATTGTAAATACATACCAGTTCTACAGGAAGTCAGTCGCGCCCTGGATAACTCAATGGTAATATCTCAGATTGTGAAGCTAACCGACAAACGATCGAATCCGCCAAGGAATAATAGTTCCTTCATGATTACAGGTACATCTTAATGACAAGTGCCAAACAGCACGAGATCTATATCTAGGATTTACTGGACTACCTCTCACCACCACCAAATAAACCTGTTGTCATTTATGTTGGGATCAAAGAATTTGTGTTCGATATACAATAGAGGAAAGAATATTCTATTAGATTAGGCTATATATGAAGCAGTAAACAAGTGATACTATCTTAGTTTTGATTTCATCCTAATGCGTACTCAAATCAAGACTTGAAGTCTAACATCAAACTTTGGATTACGCAATGAGTGAGAAGTTTTGATAAATGACATTTTTATAAGTAATATGTGAATAAATCTTTAAATGAAACTTAAAACATACTTGAGTATAACCAACATTATAACCACCTTTCTTTGCATATAATTTAACTAAAGAAATTGTTGTAGCTAATGAAACAAATGATACAATCACTGATTCCATTAAAACTTCTGGTACTAATCGAATATCCGGTAACATGGGTGATGGTAAACTTTAGAATAAAAAAAAAGAGTAGACACTAGTTTAAACCAAAAGTGAAATATGTAACTTATTACCGAAACATATTTAAATGGATAAATGGATAAACTAATCATACACCTTAGCTACTGAAACCGAAGTAGATGAAGAATGAGGTTTAAAGCCTATGACCTCAATAGGTTAGGGAGGCATAAGCGAATCACATGCCTGAACTTACTTACCATTTAAAGGTCAAACAGTAAATGACATTAAAATTACAAACACGGTACGCTATTTGAAGAAATGGATTATACACTTGATTAAGGTCTCGTATTACGTGTCCTTATCTCCCAAAAGGAAGAATAATCGTATATGATCGTCTATGATTTTTGTACATTAAGATTAATTTCAGTAATTAGATTTTCTTATAAATTACAGTCATCATATTTACATAATAGACATGAAATTTACTTAGTATTGTTTGTTTGGATCTTCCCATTGATGTTTTAAGGACTGCAACTGGTCAGTCTCTAATTCACCCCATTGCACAAGCATGTGGCTATCAGGACTCAGTGGCCGAGTGGATAACGCAGTGACATTTGAAGCGATAGGTACTGGGTTAGAGTCCCAGAGTGAACATCAACTCTGAGATGCAGGTACATCCAGCTGACGAGTCCCAAATAGGACGAAGTGACGCGCGTCCTGGATTCCACTGCTAGTCACTATCCATCTTTGCTTACCATAATAGGCTTGGTTTAATGTAGGTAGTGTATACTGTCTTCCCTCTCACTACTTCACCATGATGATACATATCCAATTTTATTGTTATAAGTATGTCAACTTTACAATAATTTAGACTGTAAGGAACTGAGGATAAGTTAACTAAATTAAATGAATTCATGTTATACTACTCAATTCTTTGTTTTTGTTTTAAACAAGTAAAGGAACTAAATATATCAGAATTCTCTAATTGTATTCATAAATAAAAAGCTCGAATTTTAAAATTGGACTAATTTTTCGAGAAATCAATATCAGAAAAAGGAACATCGTAGAGATTATGTCTAACCGCTGAGAAATCTAATGGAACTTGAACAATATTCGATTATAGGTGTACAAGCTGTAATATAAAGCCATAAGATCAACTTTGATAATATTGAGACCTTAATTAAGTAGTTTTTGGAGATTATTGAGTTTCATTGAAATGATGAACAAGTCTAAGTTAGACCGCTATTTAAAACCTGGAAGTACTGGACGGCCGTTTCGTCCTAGTATGGGACTCTTCGGTAGTACGCATACACGAACACATTTAGAAAAATTCCTTAAATCACAAAAAGTCTCACAGAAAAAATACTTCACATAAAATGGAATTCAAATTGTCTGAATAATGATGAGGGGTTCATGTACAGCTTGACTTCGCTATAAAAGCTCTCATTCACCACAAGCCAAAAGTGTCAACACAAATGTGATGAAAAAAGTTTTCGTCACATCAATATATGCCATTTTTAGAATCAATAAACTTTTATTAATGTAAAAGATCAGTGATTGAAACAACACTGCACATATGACAGTAGAAATGATAAACTGTAGCTTTTGACATCAACAACGGACAAATAAAACATTCACAGATAAAATACGTATCTGCTCTAAAATTCAGTGGCGATCATCACTTAGGAATTCAGTGAATAACATGTTGACATTTGAAGTGAAAGGTACTATACTAGAGTCACAGTGTGAACATCAGCAATGGGATGAGGCTGATACATCCAGCTGACGGGTTCGAAATAGAACAAAATCAACGTCCTGATTTCCACTGTGCTAGCCACTATTCAAAGCTGCATCACGAGGCAAGTCACAACTTGGAATCCTGAAGGGAATCGGAAAAGAGGAAGGCCAAAGAACACATTACGCCGGGAAATAGAAGCAGATATGAAAAGGATGGATAACAACTGGAAAAGAACTGGAATGGATTGCCCAGGACAGGGTTGAATGGAGAATACTGGTGGGTGGCCTATACTCCCCAACGAGGGGTAACGTACGTAAGTAAGCCACCATTGAACTTTGATAAACACCTTACAAACAACGTCAATAACAATACACATTACCACATATAAACACAAAATGTTTCATTAAAACACACCCTACAGGAATTTCACCGACAATCGATACACCATAACGTTGATTTAATAGACCAAATTTTGAAATAATAGTACCAGCAGTAAGCTAAAAAGAAGATGAATAGATTAAAAAGATATCAAGATAATCATATGCCAATATATAATCACTATGACATAACTTATGATTTTAATAGTTTGAAAATCTTTCAAATCATACTAACCATAACAAAGATATGAAATAGTTATCTAATATCTCTTAACTATCTCTTAACGACATTGACTATACATTTTCATATGGATAAAAACGTTTCGGTGGAGATTTTCTTTTTGATGAAACCATTTTCTGAAGCTGTACAATCGTATGTAGTAGTTTACAATAGAATAGAGGAGTTTTACAAATATTATTAAAAATAGTCAAACTTATTCAAATGAAAGTCAATGAAAATTAAGTGATGTTGCACAAAGTAGTCGAGATTATCAAAAGATTTCATGTATTGAATATGATAATTTATAAATGGGTGTTATTTCTATGTAATTAGAGTTTTCAAGTGTTGTGCACATCCACGATCCTGTAGACGGGAGTTGAACCCAATACCTCCGGTTTCGCGAGCGAGCGCCTAACCTCTAGACCACTGAGCCAACATCCAAACGTGTTAATATACAACTTCAATCAACCTACGATATTGCACGACCGTTTTCGATTGTCTTCGGTGGGTAATTGCCTCACACCTAATATGGATTATCTCCACTGGTCACACCTTATCACTAGAACTCTGGGAATTTATTCTCGAAGCTAGTCATTAGTGAGCACATAATTCTTATCATTGTGGGGGATTTGTAGAGATCGTTGAGTTTAACTGAAATCATAAGCTAATCAATGTTAAGCGTTCGCGTGTTGGACCGAAGGTACTGGGTTCAGAGTTGTGGATGGGCGCTGCTAAGGATTCCCATACTAGGACAAAACGGCCGTCCAGTCTAGCATTGATCTCTGCTCTAATGGAATAAATATTGGGAAAGTTGAACCTTTCATAACTTTTCCAGATTATTATTCATATTTTCATTGTTTAATTGGAAGATAACTGTATGGACGAATTTATATATTCCTCTTTATTGTAAGCTTTCATCGGGTCTACTAACTAAAGCTATATGTTTTACTGTCACTTAGTTATGTGCTGTTTGCTTCTAACACTTATGGTATAACTGTGATTGAAGTATAATTTTTTTTAAATTGGCGTGCTGTGTGATCAGTTATTTCAGGTTTATTATGTATGTGTTTTTAGTCATGATTAAACTGAGAACGATAGTCAGCTAATCTGCGTCATCTGATTGTTCACTGAGTTAGGAGGGGTGCGATGACCTAAAAGCGTTACGGTTGTCGGTGATATTCGTTGGTCAGTGTATCAATTGGTAAATAGGTAACCAATCCTATAAGCGATATAGGTGAACTAATCGATAGTTGGAATTCAGATTGAACGATTTAACATGTAGTACTGACCATAGTACATAGTGATGTATTTCAACGATTGACCGAAGCGGTGCAAGTTCACGATATACAAAAAGAGATGACATCTTAAAAAAAAACATAAAAACAAACCCATCGTCTAAACTTGCGCGAATAGTTCCACAGAATCTAAGTGTCGAGTTAATGTAAGATATTAAAGAGGAAAATTATATTTGTAAAAATCTCATCAATTGAATTTTCAGTAAATCAAACGTTTCGTTTGACAATCTAGTCCAAACTTTTTCAAGGAAATATAATCAAATCACGCGAGGCGGGATCGTGGATGCGTACTGCCACTGAGGAGTCCCATAATAGGACGAAACGGCCGTCCAGTGCTTCCAGGTTTTCCATAGTGGTCTAGCTTCAATTGACTCATGATTTCAACTATGAAAATACTGAAATCTCCACAAAACCCCTTCTGACAAAAATTATCGATTATGAATAAGTACATGGTTCTCCAGTTAATTGTATATTAAATAGTTCATCCAAACATTAACAATATTGAAAGTAAGTATTCACTATATAACCTATAAGACATCTGATATGTAAAGAAAAAAAATGTGTTTACAATGACAGTTTCATACATGAGTAAGTGGATTCAATATGAGAAACGTTTTCATTAACTATTTATCGCCCTTTGATCAGTGAATTTTTGATGAACAAAAACAAACAAATCAAACATGTCACAGCATGCATTAAATGAAAAGTGAAGTAAATTATAATTATAATACAGATTTGTACAGATCCGCTCTGGCACGAGACTGATAGGTATTGGGTTCGAATCTCGCGAGTGCAGGATCGTGGATGCGCACTGTTGAGGAGTATCACAATAGGATGAGACGACCGTCCAGTGCTTCCAGGTTTTCCATGGTGGTCTAGCTTCAATTGACTCATGCTTTCAACTATGAAAAATACAGATTTGTGTTGATAAAGTTAACTAGTCATGAAATATTCAGATAATCCAACTAAGATTAGAACAAGTAATCACTGTATTTTAACATAATAAGCAATAAATTCACTTAGGATTGTTTGTTTGAATCCTCCCATTGATGTTAAAGACTACAACTGGTCAGTCTCTTATTGGCATATGTTCATACTGTGCTTATTGCCTCGATATAGCCTTAATTCACAAGCATTATAAGCAAAGATAAATAGTGGCTAGCAGTGGAATCCAGGACGCGAATGTCGTCCTATTTGGGACTCGTCAGCTGGATGCACCTGCATATCAGAGTTGATGTTCACCCTGGGACTCGAACCCAGTACTTTTCACTTCAAACGCCATCGCGTTATTCACTCAGCTACTGAGTCCTGATAGCCACTTACTTGTGCAATGGGGTAAAGTTTAAATTCAATTGGTATTGTTTGTTTGAATTTTCCCATTGATGTTTAGGAATGTAATTGATCAGTTCCTTATTGGTCATATATGCATACTGTGCGTATTGCCTCGATATGATCTTAATTCACAAGCATTATAAAGAAAGATGAATAGTGGCTAGCAGTGGTATCCAGGAGTTCAAGAATGAACATCAACTTTAAGATGCAGGTACATTCAACTGACGAGTCTCAAATAGGACGAAACACGCGTCAAACTGGATTCCACTTCTTCTTCTTCTTTCGCCTGTTACTCCCAATGGAGCATAGGCCGCCGACCAGCTTTCTCCAACCCACTTTGAACTGGGCCTTCTTTTCTAGTTCCATCCAGTTCTTGTTCATTCTTCTCATGTCTGTCTCTATTTCTCGGCGTAATGTGTTCTTTGGTCTTCCTCTTCTCCTTCGACCTTCAGGATTCCATGTGAGGGCTTGTCTTGTGACACAATTGGGTGATTTCCTCAAAGTGTGCCCAATCCACTTCCAGCGCTTCTTCCTGATTTCTTCCTCCGCTGGAATCTGGTTTGTTCTCTCCCACAGTAACTTGTTGCTGATAGTGTCTGGCCATCGGATCCGAAGTATCTTGCGTAGACAGCTGTTAATAAACACTTGTATCTTCTGGATAATGGCTTTCGTAGTTCTCCACGTCTCTGCCCCATACAGAAGAACTGTCTTGACATTTGTATTGAAAATTCTAACCTTGGTGTTGGTTGACAATTGTTTTGAGCTCCAGATGTTTTTCAGTTGTAAGTATGCTGCTCTTGCTTTGCCGATCCTCGCCCTCACATCTGCATCTGATCCACCGTGTTCATCAATGATGCTGCCCAGATATGTAAAGATTTCCACATCCTCCAAAGCTTCTCCGTCAAGTGTAATTGGATTGGTGCATATTGTATTGTATCGGAGAGTCTTGCTTTTCCCTTTGTTTATATTGAGACCTACTGTTGCTGAGGCTGCTGCTACACTGGTCGTTTTCTCCTGCATTTGTTGTTGCGTTTGTGATAGAAGAGCAACTCCGCCTGTAGCTCCTCCAGGGGCTACTGCCGGTCCCAAGCCCGGGTAAAGGAGGAGGGTTGGGCATGGGGTTAGCGACCCCATCCCGTAGAAAATCAACTCGCTAAAAAAACGCTAACCAGAAAAATTCATTCAAACTGGATTCCACTGTTAGCCATTATCCATCTTTACTTACAATAATAACTTACTTACTTACGCCCGTTACCCCTCGTCGAGGAGCATAGGCCGCTCGCCAGCATTCTCTATCCAACTCTGTCCTGAGCCTTCCTTACCAGTTCTTTCCAGTCAACATTCATCCTTTTCATATCGGCTTCTATTTCCCGGCGTAATTTGTTCTTTGGCCTTCCTCTCTTCCGCTTCCCTTCCGGATTCCAAGTTAGGGATTGAGTCGTGATGCACATTGGTGATTTCCTTAATGTATGTCCGATCCACTTCCAACGTCTTTTCCTTATTTCCTCTTCAGATGGAAGCTGGTTTGTCCTCTCCCATAAAACGCTATTGCTGATAGTATCCGGCCAATGAATGTTGAGTATTTCGCGTAGACAACTGTTTATAAATACTTGTACCTTCCTGATGATGGTCGTAGTAGTTCTCCACGTTTCAGCTCCATACAGTAGGACTGTCTTGACGTTCGTGTTAAAGATTCTGACTTTGAAATTAGTTAACAGTTATTTTGAGTTCCATATATTCTTCAATTGTAGAAATGCTGCCCTTGCTTTGCCAATCCTCGCCTTTACATCTGCATCCGATCCTCCTTGTTTATCAACGATGCTCCCCAGGTATTTGAATGTATTCACCTCTTCCAGAGTTTCGCCATCAAGTGTAATAGCAATAGATTAAAGTTTACTTATGATTAACTAATAACAATAAGAATAAATTTCCTTCCTCTTTCCAACTCTTTTATTCTCTCATTAAAACTTACCACAATTAATTCAATTGGAATAGTAAAATGTAGTTTAGATGAAACTTTTGGATTGATCAAATGTTTAAAACACCATATAATTATAATACATATGATTGATATTAATAATGTAACAAGATTAGTTTCTTTGATAATATTAATAAAATTATTAATTATCTAAATAAAATAAATAAAAAAGCAAACAAGACGGTAAATAAAAAAAATATAAAAAAAACTTTCTGCATAAAAATTGAAATAATAAAGAACTCATCATTGTTTTTATTCACTAAACTAATGAATAAATAAATGAATCTACCATTAGTTATCCTACTGAAATGATTTATGATGGAGATTTAGTTAATTTGAAATTAATATTTATAACAATAAATGGAATAATTGATAGTCTTTGTTATATTCGAAGAACCTGATTCAGTTTGGGCACCCAAATTCCCTGATACGACCGAGAGTGAGGAGAGTCCGTTCTACCTCTCCAAATGCTGTCACATGGCTACGCGTGTATATGGCTTCAGTCAGGGAAGTCCTACTCACTGCCTTCTCATACCACAGGTGTTATTTACAAAATTGAGAGAACGAAAAGCGAATTTACGACGCTTTAACCGGGTTGGTGGACACGAAAAGTTTACCCACGGGAGTTGGAAAACCATGATTCCAAACCAATGATGCATATAGGCTCCAGTATCCTGAGAAAACAAATGACGTATGAATCAATCGCTAGTCACCGGCTACCATGGGACTTCATCTCCTGACGTTGCTACACTGTCTTGTGGATCAGACCTTTAGATCAAAGGCTCCGGGTGTGGCCCCTAAGAAAACCATCTGCTTCGGTTTGGGCACCTGGGCAGTATCACAGCCCTCACACAAATCAAATGAGATTTGTGTGGAGCATATATATCTGGTGCCCCTTTGTACCAATATGTATGTGTTCAAAAAAAACAAATAACATTAAATTATGCGTAACTTCCAGGAGCAATTTATAAACAGTTATTATACATATATTCTTATTATATATCTGTGAAGGAACCAAAAATATATATTTAGAAATTTCTATTGGACTGAGATAAGACTCTATACCTTTATGTTCTGGAATATTTTGTTGAATAGAATGTTTCCCCAAAACAGCTTCTAGGAGTTGTTGAGTAGCTAACATCTCCTTCTGTTGCTATAATAGTAACTGCAATTGTTCTGAAGAGAGTGCCATTTTTTTACTGCTACTATTAATAGTATTATTTTCCTTTAATTCCTTAAGGACGCCGACAATTATGATGGCTTATTTTTTCCCGAGATCCGCATTGTCAATTGTTGACTTTTACCCGGTTAATTTACCACATGATAGGATCGTCAATTAGGACACGACTTATATGACTTTAGCACCGTACCAAACCAATGACGCATAAACCAGTGCGAACAGTCCAGAGTCAATTCTCAGTCTTTTTTAGTTCTTATCTCCTAGCCCTGCCGTTTGAGTTCAGAACACAATCTCAGCTTTCATTGTATAAATCATGTATATCAGACATGCGCAGTTTATATTCAAGCGAAACAGACCGCATCACACCATAAATAGCAAATAACAATTATACAAAATCAAGCCGAAAGTGGCTGTGAGTGTGAGAGACTGTAACTAATAAATTGGGAATATCATAAGAATATTAAGTCGTACGATAATAGTCCATATGTCAAATAAGAGATTATAGTAGAATGAAGGTATTTGGTTCGACTGCAGCGCGTTGGATAGTGGATGGATACTGCCGAGCATTCCTAAACTAGGATGAAACGGCCGTTCAATGCTTCCAAGTTTTCAATGGTGGTTTAGCTTAGGTGGAACAGTGATTTCAACTCTGAAAATACTACAATTTATATAAATCCCCCATAGTAATGTTCATTTACTCTGCGGAAGTTGATTTATATGTTAGATATTATTTTGCTACTAGTTTGTATTAGTCTAAAATAGTGAAAGAATAACTATTGTTTTCGTATATCTATGTTCTGCCTAGTCACTAATTTTGAGAGGTAATCTCTTGAATTATAGGGAGAAGCAGTTTGCAGTGGAGCTCAATTATGTTGGGAGTGAGTCAAGCGTCGAATGACAATTGCGTACTACTATGAATTTACTAAAGTTAAAAATGTAAACTGCTGGATACCAACCTAATTGCTTAAATGTTAAGGGGAAACCGTGAGCATTAAAGGTTTTCGGATTCGATCACAGTTATTGAGAGATTTTCATAATGAAACGAAACAAAATTTAATAATTGCCCAATCAAAGTCAATATTCATGACGCAGAACTTCAGAAAACCATTTTACCGAAATTGCGATCATTGAAATATACTTTCAAGCGATAAGTCACAAAATGTTATTTCAAAGATCAAGATAGATCAAATAAAAACGGTCATATATTTTGAAACTTACATAAAAAATACGAAAAGGTCCTGTAGCACGATTTAACCGAATACCAAATAATCCATTTAATTGACTAGTGAACACATGAACAGCGGATGCACAAGTGAAGCCACTTAATAGTGGTTCCGATATATAAACTACTAATACACCAAGACGAAGAACACCCAAAGCGACCTAGAAACCATTGGTCATAAGTAAGAAAACATTAAAGAGGAACAACAAAAAGAGGATACAAAGTCAGTAGTAAGTACATATTAAAGATGAGTAATTTTAGACTTGATGACTTTAGGATAAGAAAAATTACAATAATTTGATAAGTACATCATTTTACATGGCAAGAGTTTATGAAGTCATTAGCTTAATCAGAGATGGAGGATAGTTAACAGTGGAATCCATGATGGGAGTTTCATACTATTCGGGACTCATTGGCTGGATGCACCTGCATTGGAGTGTTAATATACACTCTGAAACTCGAACCTCGTACCGTTCACTTCAAAGACTATCGCGTTATCTACTTAGCTGATAAGTTTAGATAGTCACTAGTTTTTGCAGTGAAGTGGATTTTAAATCATATGCACATATACATTTGGCTGACGAGTCCCAGACAGGAGGAAAAGAGCATCCTGGATTACACTACTAACCATCATCCATCTCTGTTTAAAGTGATTGTGAAAATACCGAGACAATCCACAAAGGATGAACATATGCCAAAATGAAACTAATCATTTGCAATCTCAAACATCAATCGGAAGATGAAACAACCAAAATACATATAAATTAAAAGTCATTTACTGTTTATCCGAATGATGTTGCTAGGTGTACACCACAAGCTTTTATAATCTGTGTGATAACGATTGAAGTGGATGAAATAGCCAAAACTCAGTCGCAGTGTAGTATATGGATTAATTATTCATCCTACCAGAAATCTAAAGTTGCAATATTACTCCATTTCTTTCATTGTTAGTTCACTCCTTCATTTTGAACCAAATTCTTTGATATTAAGCCGATCTTATAATCACTGATAGAATAAGCATTAGTTCAACACCTTCGCTACTTATCTTTCTAAGTGCATTTCGTTCGTTTTATTTGCTGTGAAAACGAACAAATGAGCATTTCTCCTCGATTTTAACATGGTTATGACTGACTGTCTATATAGCCTAATGAAACTCACTGGAATTCAAATCCATGAAATAACAATACACATACTGACATAGATTCAGTCTATCAAAAGCTTTCAGGAAAAAGATAATAGTCTATGCATCAGTTGATTAGTAAACGTGAATATCGAAGTCAAAATCCCTAGTTTGTACCTTTATTATCACCACCAAGTTACCTAATGGTTATCCGCTGATTTTTTTTACATATATAAAAGTCGGGTTTAAATCTAATCGCCATTGCAATGAAAGAAGCATTGGATAGTGTTAACCGATTTATCAATACGTAATATCACACGGTTCATTTGTAAAACATGAAAAAAATGCATCAAATACACTATTTGTACATCTTCCTTGAGTCCCCCCATACAAACTCTGTTTTTCTTTCATTCCTATTTTTATTTCTAATGCTTTCTGTTTTCCTTTTACTTCTCTTTATTTTCCTCTTCTGTTTGTAAGAATTCTACTTTCAATTCTTGATACATACTACTTATTTGTCCCTACAAATAGCACACACCATACTATAATTTCTGTAAATTGTATTAAGGTAGAGTTAATTTGTCTGTTGATAAATTTGAATGTATTCATTTTATCTACTGTTTGACTCATGTCTAGTAGTTGGTGTGTTACCGAAGTACGAAGACTGTTTTGTCCTCAGAGGTGTACACTTTAAGGAATATGTTCAACAAAATGTATAAAATCTTGATTTTTTTGCTTCTGTGTATGTACATGTAAACTGATATATGCGGTTGAAGGCGGAATGTGACGCGTATATATCTTTGTTCACGTTACTGAGCATTGCGTTGTGTTCAATGGAACAAATTTGCCTCAGGAAAAGTACTTTTCATAAAGCTGCCATTAGTCCTCAATTGATTATCTTAGTGACGTCAACCACGTCCAAAAATTAATCGGATTATTATGTTACTTTTCAAGCTTGTAAACTATCATCTTACTATGGTATTCAATAATGTATTTCAGTGTAAACATTGAAGGGTAGCCATTTCCTTGAGGAAAACTATCTATTACTGAGAACTCCTCCTTGAGCTTCTTTTCCTGGCTCGGTGGTAGAGCGTTTTCATCAGGCCATATTTAAAGTTTATAGATAAAAGCTTTAAATATTGCTCATCCTAGGTTTATTTCCGATATATACTACGTTTGTCAGGTCTCATCATTTCTTCGAGAAATATAAAGCATTATTTTATTCATCTTCCATTGTGAATTCGACATCACGATGAACTTTATAAAGGTTTCAAGTACCCCATTTATTTCGTTACAACACACAGAATGCAGTCTAATTGATAGGAGACAATAATTTTATCCCTCCAAATATTTTTGACGAAGATATCAGCAAGGATTGGGCCTTCCGTCTGTTTGAAAGTACAACTTATCACTAAGGTGGAAACGAATGTGTTTTGCCGATAGTTTTAATAACTGATTGAGGTGAGAATACAAATTATGGACGACCTTTGTGCAACGCCAAAACTGACTTTGGAAGGTCCACCTACTTACTAGGGTTAAATGAGGGTTACAGATTAGTGTGAAAGATTAAGGTTAGGATTTACAGTTGGATGTTTGGATTAGGAATTAGATTTTATGTTTTCATCGCAAACTGACATAAGCTATAATGCCAAAATTATATTTAACTGAGTGAATTATTTTCGCGCCAGAATTCAAGATCTGATTGGCTCGTCCCTAAATTATAGTCTCGCCAATACATGGCATTTAGAACTATCAATTATCTTCTGTTCTAAGAGCCCTGTAAGTTATTTAGTAACTTTATTTTACGATACTGGAGCTTTATATTCGTTTGAATATTCAGCTTTGAATTTACTTTGATCTTTTAGAATTACAATCGTTTCTCATATATATTTATATGTATTCATCAACACGACTTCATAGTATTTATCTGGTTTGATTAGTACTAAGTCGTCAGAATTTTGGAAGTTTCTCAAAGAATAAAGATGGGCTCTATTCATGATTTTGGACTAAAGGGATGTTGTAGTTTATAAATGATTAGCAATGTCAACTAGATTTGATTTGAACTGACCACATTTATTTTTATTGAATGAATTCAAGTAAGATACATGGTGATATATGTTTGTAAATTGAACTTCTGCATCAATTCTGTTGGTAGATTTATGTGGAATGAGAAACTAGAAACAAAGAGATAAAGTTTTAGACTGATTTTTGTTCGATTTTGTTCTAGATAAGTTGAATATATAGGTTGCCCTAAATCGTGGACGCTATTGATGAGTTTCCGCTAATGATAAAACACCCATCTACTTGTCTTTGGTTTGAAATCAGTCAGTCAGTCAGTCACAACGTAGAACTTCGTTCGTACGTACATCAGTTCGAGTCGCCATACCACATTAGCACAGAGATGAAGTTGTCGATTCGAATCCCATAGTGGTAGAAGTAGTAAGAGTTTAAGCATTACGTGAAAGATTAGGGTTTGAAGATGTTATTGAAGGAGTATAATACAGTGAAATAGATTTAGAAAGAGAAAAAGGAAAGAGACACGAAGAATTCAGAAGATTAGAATTTGGTAGAACACAAAGAGTGGATGCACCTTCGCCATTGCAAACGATTTTGAGCCATGTCATTCAAGGTCTCTAACCATCAATTGCTATCATCTCGCGAATCCCAACAAGGTAGTCTACACTTACCAACATGGCTCAGTCCACTTGTCAGCGACTTCATAGATTTGTGCCATGTTTTGGTCTAGCCGCCCCTAGCTTTCTTCCAACCTAATCTTACGCCATAAAACACTGCACGTCGGGGCAGTCGGTGGTTGGCCATACGTAACACGTGTCCCAGCCATTTCAACTGATGAAGTTTCACTACTTCAAATGAGATTCCATTGGTGATTAAGTGGTTGAAATTCACAGGAACATATACATGATAATTACCCCATAAAATTTCTTGAACTCACTTGAAATAATCCAGTCAATATACAAACTGTTATAACAACAGTTAAACGGAAATCATCTATTTGTTTTCCATTATAAACATTATATTTTTCTAAAGAACGATTGTTTACATCAAATAATGATGTTAATCTATCAACAGGATCAGCCGTTAAAAGTGAAACGACAGAAAATGTACCTATAAATGTATAAAATTTCAATGAATTTAAAATGGTTAATATGGAATATTGAAAATAAAATTTATTTATTTTTTATGATTTTATAAATCTCCAAAAATAAATATCTTATGATCAGATTCACTTCCAGCGCTTCTTTCTGATTTCTTCCTCCGCTGAAATCTGGTTCGTTCTCTGCCACAATAGAATGCTGCTGATAGTGTCTGGCCAACGGATCCAAAGTATCCTGCGTAGACAACTGTTAATAAACACAGAAGATACAGGTGTTTATTAACAGCTGTCTACGCAAGATACTTCGGATCCGATGGCCAGAAACTATCAGCAACATTCTATTGTGGGAGAGAACAAAACAGATTCCAACGGAGGAAGAAATCAGGAAGAAGCACTGGAAGTGGATAGGACACATGTTGAGAAAATCACCCAACTGCGTCACAAGGCAAGCCCTCACATGAAATCCTGAAGGCCAAAGGGAAAGAAGAAGATCAAAGAACACATTACGCCGAGAAATGGAAACAGACATGAGAAAACTGAACAAGAATTGGATAGAACTAGAAAGGAAGGCCCATGATAGAGTGGGTTGGAGAATTATAGCCGGCGGCCTATGCTCCATTGGGAGTAACAGGCGTAAGTAAGTAAGTAATGATCAGATTATACATGTTTATGCCTGTGATAATTATCCAATGGCAAAGATTACAAAAAGGACGCACAATAAAGATATAAGGACAATGAGCAAGGTTTGTAAGAACAACCATTCTGAATGTGAAGCAGTGAAAAAAATAATGATCAAAGTGCATAACTTACTATTGTGTCATCTAAGACCTAGGCCGTCCAGTGCTTCCAGGTTTTCGATGGTGGTCTAGCTTCAATTGACTCATGATTTCAACTATGAAAATCACATTCATTCATAAGTGAATATGAACTTAATAACTTGGTTACAAATAATTTGAAAAGTTCCAAAATCAATAACATATAAATGACCAAATGACATGAACTGTATTATAATTAAAAAGTAAACAAACAAGATAACATAAAAAGTAAACAAGGTATTAAAGCTATTTAGTTGACCTTTTTTATGTATGATTATACTTCCAAATGTAGTAGTATTAAGACCTTCATGACATATGAAATTCATTTTCTGTCAAATTTTCTTTATAGATCAGAAGAAGGGGTTTCGTGGAGATTTCAATATTTTCATAGTTGAAATCATAAGTTCCATAATAGGGTGAAACAGCTGTTCAGTGCTTCTAGGTTTTCCATGGTGATCTAGCTTCAATTGACTCATGATTTCAATTATGAAAATTTTCTTTATTTATAAACCTTAATGAAATCTATTGAACATTAGTGAATTATATGATGTATATCTTTGATCAGTAACAACCATGACACTGAACTCTGAGTACAATATTGGGCATATTACAATACAGAAAAAGATAAGTAGTAGTTGAATTAGTATCTTAATATATATATATATAATCCCTTTTATACTCATGCGACTGAAATAAAGAAAAAGGGTAATGTTCAAAAGTCACATTACTGAAAGGTTTGAAAGGAAGTAAATGGCATAATATATTTATTTTCCAGGCATGAATTGGTACTCGGCTTTAAAAGGCATCACTTATATGGGGACCGATGCAAATACTCAGCTGTTAAAATCAAAATTTAAGAAGAGCGTCACATCTCCAGTCTATTGGTTGGATTACAAACCCTTTATCATTGAAATATTGTTCAGAGAGAATGTGTTGGTATCGGTATAAGTGAACCATATATTTATTTATTTATTTATTTAAACACATAAATACTGGTACAAGGGGGCACCAGATATATATGCACCACACAAGTGAATAAGTTACACGAAATGTTAAGTAACAGGCAGAGTTCACAGACGTTGCGGGGCCAAAGCCCCTTCTGACAACCTGAATAACAACTAGTGTAGGTACACGGAAAGTCCGGGAAATGTGGGAGAACTAGAGAATCAGTCAAATAGCTGTGGGTTGAGCAGATACATGAAAACTCTCAGCACAAGTGAAACTCATTGGAACCAAGCTGGGTATAAAACATTAGATTCGGAAGAGATGCTGTTGTACTCTAATCATATTTTGCACACACTGAGTTGCACTAATGATGTCTAAAGAATCACGAAAAGCACCTATAATATGAGAGTCCCATGTATCAAAAATCGTGAATGTATCCTCCAAAACAAAGGAGAGGACCACAATGAATTTTATCCAATGCTATGTTTCTACCAATGATAGCAATAAAGACAATAAAGATCAGTTTTATGAGAGGCTGCAATCGATCGTAGAGAATTGTTCAGGAAACTACCTTACAATCATGATGGAAGAGCTTAACGCCGAATTCCGAATGGACAACACAGGGTATGGAGATATCATGGAACGACACGGACTGGGAGAAAGAAACTAACATGGCAAGGGATTTGCAAAACATATGTATATTCAACAAAAAAGTTACAAGTAACATTATATTCCACTACAAACGCATACACATACATACATAGGTCTCACCGGATCACATTACACAGAACATCATAGAATATAAAGCTAGGTGGCGTGAAATTAAATTCCATAGGGAGCATTTATTTCATCTAGACTGTAAGTAAGCCTTATCAAACAATTTCGAATAACATAGTTTCCTGGAAACAACCTCCAACTTATGCTTGGTAAATTACTCCAAGAAAATATTAAAAAACCTACCTATGGAGACATGGCGTGAAGTCCCAAAAACGAAGTAAACCAGAGCAGGGAAAAATGAGGTGTACAATCCATTGATTGGTTTCACTCCGGCCAAAACACCATATGCCATTCCTATTATTTAAAAAGTGGTTAGACTCGAACTAAAAAAACTGACCTTGAGGTATATGGACTATTGCAAGTGTTAAGCCAGCAATCAGATCTGATACAAATGATTGTAGGTTATAAAAAGGAGCCAAAACAGAATAAAATGGAAAAATAAAGGACAGAACGCCAGCGAATTTTGAACAGGTGCAACTTTTTAAAACTTTATACGGTGAAAATGTTTTGTGTACTTCTGACGATTTGGGATAGTGTTGTAGAAATTTGTCCATATTATAAATTTCACGAGTTATGGAATATTTTCTTTCTGGTAGGAGATTATCAGCATCTTCATCACCAATTGACATCTAAGAACCTTAAAGATAATCCGTGAGTGAGATTATGAAGACTCAAAAAGCAATGGTTATATGTAAGCTAAATATTTATTGGTCAATCAAGAAAAGAAATATTCCGAAGAAAAGTAAGGCTATGACAACACTTCTGAGTAGACTTCATCTGAAACTATTCATTACTGTTTCCAAATATATTCCCAATGTCAATTTCACTGAATCAATTTCCAAGTGACTTGGAGAGTACATAAATGCATATTAATGATAGCAATCATTTATGCGATGCAGCTTATTGAAATTCTGCGCACCCAACAGGTTTAGTGGGTATATTAATTAGTGATTAAAGCGCTCAAATTTTAACCCGATTCGGTTCGGGGAGCACAAGCTCTTGTCTCAAATCCGATTACATATCCCTATAGCGTGATAAGCCAAACATACATGTGAACAATATAATCACATTTATTACATTTCAAGACATTTGCACTGAATCACAGTATATAATAAAACAGAAATATGGACAATTTGAAAAATTCTTCAGCATCTGTCCACTTATTCTTTCCAATATTTTAAAAGCAAAGCTTTGGAAAGACTGGAATTAAAATACTTAGCTTAATTATTTAATTGGTTTTATTTGTTATTTGCAATTATTTGAAAATAAACTGTGATCACCAAATACGCATTTTAATTTTAGGTGGCAATTTAGTAGTACAAGAAGTCTAGACGTAAATAATGAACCAAAAATAGAAACACTGAAATATTAAGAAGAACAAATAAGAATAGTTATTATGCCACAGATATGACTCGTGAAAATAAACTCCCAAATTAAGTCCATGATTTGGTATTAGGGCTCGATGATGCACAATTTGAGATGTCATTTACAACTTTATGAACTGAATGTCATCTCTCCTGTTTCTGATGCCTAGAAATCTGGAGAATATTTAAAAATATCTCTCGGTTCTCATTATATCGAATCAAAAAAGCATTTGAAGCAACCAACAGAGACGACGTTTTTGAACTCGCCTAGATTGCAGTGATTTTATTGCAACGAATCAAATAACATACATATTGGTCCAATGGGAACGAAACCCAAAGGTATTGAAAACAAACTAATCTCCTGACGTTGCAATGTCGCGAAACACAAAAAACGGCGGTGGAGGATTATAAAATCTGTAATAATGTGAAAATAACGAACTAACAATAGGAAACATTTATATTTGGTTGTGTTATACGATGTTAGAATCAATCCACTGGCAAAATATATTTGTGAGCTTATATGTTAAGTAACCGGATTTAAGAACTTTAACGATAAAGTTCAAAAACATGCAGGAAAATGCAAGTTAAATGCAGATTTTTTCGAGTTGATCCAGCTAATAATACGTCTTATGGTCAATGTACACCAAATATCATCTCTAATAGATTTCATGGACAAAGCAAATACATCACACAGTAACTGAAGTAACGAACTCACCAAAAATAATACTTGAAAAGCCGCGAAATTTAAAGACTATTTGCTGAAGTAACAAAACACGGCTTCATAAGTACAAACATTTCTGAACGAAATAAAAGACACTTTTGCACAAACAGTTTTAACATCCATAGGATTGGAGTACAGATATTTCTACGCAGGAGATTAGGTATATTTTACGGCAAAGAAAGAAATATTGGTATATTATAAATAAATACTGTCTTCAGTCCTTGACAATATGGCAATTTTCCTCATGAAAGACTCCTGATAAATCGCTCAGATCACTTCATTCATCGACAAATTCCAGAATTCAAATGCTCGTAGTGAGTAGATGATGTGATTACAAACAATTCTATTATATTACTGTGAAGGATGAGGCAATTGCTATTCGGATCAAAAAGCCAGAATTCTGGTATAGTCTGTCTCAAATATCTAAGTATTGCCCCTAATGTATTTGTTTACACTTAACCTATGTAGCTGTTTAAAAGGCTGCCAAACAGTGTTAAGGGTGCTCGTAGTTATTAAAATATCACATCTGTGACACACATACCGAAGTTGGCAAAGACATGATCGTAGAATATCAAGACGACTTGGTCGCTCTTAACTTGGTACAACTCTAGAGAGCAATTATGTAGCTTGAAGGCGTAACGTAAACCATGACTCACGTGGCTTGCTTTCAAATTTGAAGTTTGAAAGTAATTCCGATGTTATTCACTCAGCTTTGAAGTCGAATCAGATCAACCTGAAGTGTCGACTTATCATCTCAGTCGTAAACTTCTCTCCAACTTTCCACATCCTCAGCGACAAGTAGCTAACCAGATGGTACTTTGTGAGAGATTTCATTTATATAAATTAAAAAGAGAAGAGATTCTGGTTCTTATTCACAGGAGACCTCAACTAGATATTCTGTAGCCTAAAAAGTGTGAAGATAACTCTAATTTAAAAATGTCGATTGTTGTTGAGGCGAAAGAAGTTATCCTTGTTTTGACTATAGCTTTCACATGAACACTCGGTCGCCAGTACCGCATTTATAGTTCTAGCAGATTATCTGATAGAATTCCTCTCATTCGTAACGCGCGTTCATGTATTCGGAAGATGGAACTAAGTTAGTTCCAGAACCACATATGGTTAGCCTTAATTTTATATGCATATAAAACAGGATTGTCGAAATCAGTCAATCTCTCTAATAGTATTTCACAAAAGTTCATGATTTCATCCTCTTCTTCATAATGTTTTAGTGGCACTACAAAGTTAGCAGAAAGTTTTTAGTCAACGTTTGTTCATTGATTGCTGAATTAAAAGTACATTATTAGTTTTTGTGTTTTCTAAATCTGCATTCTAGTTAATAAGCCGTTATTACTAACAGCTACTGTTATCAGGGTACGGAATGTCTAAAGTTAATACATAACACAACACATGGGTTATTCTAGCGCACAGACAGTCGGAATTATTCTTTCTTCTTGAGTAACGTTTTGACATATTCGGTTATCTACTTACTAACCTTGATTATTTTTATATGCGTATCGCTTACCTTATTCCTCAGACGTATTTAGCTAACTTTTGACTGGTTATAAAGATTGAGTCATATATTATCAAACTTAGTCGGAATCCTTGTCTTCTTCAATTTGAATCACTTATTATTTGTCAGGGGCAACGAGTATATGAAGTTAACGTATCCAGAATTCATTCTCGCATTTGTCGTATTTAATTCCATCTCAAATTGAGTCGATAATTACATACGAGGATATCCAGGATGCATCGGTTGTAAGCATCATTTTCTGACCAAGTATGACCCAGACTAGTGGGCGGTGAAAAACTGAATACGTCTGTAGCGAATACGTTTATTAGCGCTATTAGAAAAAGCAAAGTCCAGTTACATGGAAAATCAATCAAGCACCGGTAGTTGTTGTCACATATAAACCGCTAGTTTAGTTACAAATTGCCTCACAGACCATAATGAAGACCACAATGAAATATAATCCCTGTCACATTACTCAATTCAATCATGTGCGTCAAATGAGGACGATTTTCGCCTCAAAAACAATGCTACTAGGCCGGCTTTCGACAGTGGGCAACACCTAGAATGTCCTATTAAATAAACTACACTTCTTAGGGAAATCAGCAAGTTCGAATGGACTTCATTCGAACCACTTAAGATAAATTACAGTGTGTATTACTACAAAATAAATTGTGTTAACTGCGACAAACACTACATCGGACAAAGCGGACGCCCTCTTCATCTTCGCCTGCGTGAACATCAATCAGCAGTCAAACGCATGACATGTCTTCACTTATATCAATGCACGTGGACAACTGCGGACACACATTCAACCGGAAAAACGTGGAGATTTTGGGTAAAGGCATTTCCAAAAACACCAGATTTTTTCGAAGCTTGGCACTTAGCAATAAACAAGCACATTGAAATCAATCCAATTTATCAACCAATCAGGAAAATTATGCAGAAACATAGGAACAAAAATCAAACCAATAGGAGATAAAACCAAACAAAGAAATGAACAATGGCGGATTTATAGTCAGCAAGAACCAACCAACATCGAGATGCATAGGATGAACTGTGAATTACATGTGGAGAAATTCAAACACTTCACTTCTACCCGAAGTTTATGCTGATGTCGTTCAGAAGGACGATAAAAGTTCCACGACCAAACCAACCAGCTCAGAGAAAAAAACCCACCAGAATACTACTAAACATAGCGGCAGTGTAGTAATCCGCCAATCAGAACATCTACATGTGACCTACCAGTTTCGCGATATTCTAGCAAAAACTCTAATCAGACGCTGATTGGATAAAATGCCCCTTGTTTCCTGAGCTTGTCATGTCTATTGCGAGAAATTTTCAGGATCACCCCAACACATGTGATACAATTTTTATGGTCCCAATCAGACCATGAACTACCTTTATGCTGGGACAATGGCTTTTAGTTCAAATAACGAAATATGATCGATGTAATAGCCAGTAAGTTGCAGAACCGCAAGTTTGTTCTGCGTCGTATTTGAGATGGTTACGTCCAACGAGAGGTATTGAAGGATGTCAATATACGGGCTCCCATGACGAGCTGAAAGCCTCCTTAAGTTATCCTTGATTGGGATTATGTTTATTAACGCCTCCAAGTGCCTGAACCATATCGGAAGTAGAAGTCTCAACAAGTTAGGATGGCAATAACACCAAATATTTATTAACACAGACCTTTCCACATATACATAGCCTCAGTTGGGTCCATGTCTGGTTACTGTACACAGTACCCAAACCCTGAAGATTTAATCAACTCTACTGGAGAATGTACGAAAAACATACCAGCTCTGGAATCCTGTGGTTTACGGTGCTTAGTAGAATTTGAAAACGTAGGGCTCTTTTTGTTGATTAACTTGCGGTGTAGAATACGGATAGTTAATTAAGGACTTTATGTATCTTCTCTTCCTCTTCGAAATAGGTTGGGACAACCTCAAAGACATGACGGTCGAGCTCAATGGAAAAAGAACATATTTCCCCACTGAATAATTGACACTGGAAGCCCATCACAGTAGGAAGTAATGTCCGCACCTGCTACTGACTTACCCAGAAAACATCATACATCAAACAAAACTTGAAAAGGAGCAACCAATAAGATCTATTGGCACGTAATAAACTGATCTGAGGAACTACATATCGTTGAAAGTAGCTGTGATAAACTCCAAGACGAATGACCCATCTCACTATGTAGAACTGTACATCTGATCGCCTATTAAGACGAGGCGGGATTCACTAAACAATGCTTATGGATCACACCAATCTGCACTTGCGACTTCATAGGCTTCAACGCCAATTCGAAAATTTGACCGTCGTATGTTTTGGCACGTTGCCAAGACTGCAATAGTAAATAATACCGTTAAACCTAGATAACTCAAGCGTTTACCACTGATTTAAAACAAGTGTTTTTACTGGAACCTAAGCATTCTGACTTCTGTCAGGCACCTGGCCCATATTTCATTCAACCTACCTTATACTCTAGATAACAAGTCTCGAAGTTAGACATCACGCTAATTCTGCATACAAATCGAAAAAATTATTATATCTACCCTTTTCTTTTTAGTTACTTTGAGAATACTTTTGCGAAATACATGGACATCCGGTCCTGCTGCATCTAAGAAACCTGTAAATTGTTTTCAAGCAAATCGGCGGAACGGGAAGTCTCAGTTTATTAGCTCAGAAGTCCTTCTAATACCATGTGTGTCTATTTCTTATCACTGGTTGAGTTTTATCATGTGAGATGCAATTTACCCATTAACTTAAGTTAATGAATATCGTGTAAACTGTTCGAAGTTAAGTAGCAGTACGCAGTACGGTATAAACTTAAGATTTCGCGCTAGGCGGTACTTAGTATCAAGTTGTACCTAATATTTTCAGGGAACCAGTGCTTTTGTGTGGTATAGCAAATTGAATTTCCGGAATCGGGCGTACGCACAACTTATTAATCTCAAAATACGACGAAAAAGTTGCTCATAGAGTTCCTTAGTTTTTCAAACGATTGATATAAATTCGTGACAGAAAAAACAATTTCAAACTAGTTACACTTTACACAAACCTCCCATGACCAATTCGGTCTAATCGTATTTATAAAGCATTTAGAACAATAGTATTAGGAATAAAATAATAAATTTTCATATGTATATTTTGTTTCAAATAGGTAAGGGTGATGAAATATGATTTTGTGGGGATAAGAACATCACACTGTAGTATCATTCCTCGTATTCATCTTTTATTGAATTCTCACATTGAAAAAAACATATCTGAGGTGGTCACAAAACTAATTGCACAAATTTGAAGGATGTGTAGAAGAGTGATAGAGAGAGAGAGTAAAAAAATCTTAAACTATTGACTCTCAACCAAATCGACCGATGTATGCAAGAGAAAACAACAACAATAAACAATGGAAGTCAGTGAGCTGAATGGGCAATAACCATTGTTGTTGTTGTTGGCTGCTGTGGCAAGTTTCTTTTAAT